TAACACGTTTAAAATCTCTTACTCACGTCGGCCACGGAGAAGGAGAGCCCACAGTCCTTGGTAGCTGGCCGCGTCGGTGGCACTGTGTTATCCTCAAAGCGGGCAAAGAACTTGTTTAGCTTGTCTGGCAGCAAGACGTCGGTGTCCGTGACGTGGATGGTTTTCCTATTGTAGTCCGTGATTGTCTGTAAACCCTGACACATACATCTCGTGTCTGAGCTGTTGAATTGCGACTGCACTTTGTCTCGATATTGACGTTTTGCCTGTTTGATTGCCTTGCGGAGGGAACGACCACAGCATGATGCTGCCACCACCATGCTTCACCGTAGGAATGGTGCCAGGTTTCCTCCAGACGTGACGCTTTTATTCAGGCCAAAGAGTTCAATTTTGGTTTCATCAGACCAGAGAATCTTGTTTCTAAATGGTCAGAGAGTCCTTTAGGTGCCTTTTGGCAAACTCCAAGCGGGTTGTCATGTGGCTTTTACTGAGGAGTGGTTTCCGTCTGGCCACTCTACCATAAAGGCCTGATTGGTGGAGTACTGCAGAGATGGTTGTCCTTCTGGAAGGTTCTCCCATCTCCACAGAGGAACTCTGGAGCTCTGTCAGAGTGACCATCGGGTTCTTGGTCACCTCCCTGACTAAGGCCCTTCTCCCCCGATTGCTCAGTTTGGTCGGGCGGCCAGCTCTAGGAAGAGTCTTGGTGGTTCCAAACTTCTTCCATTTAAGAATGATGGAGGCCACTGTGTTCTTGGGGACCTTCAATGCTTCAGATGTTGTGCCTCAACACAATCCTGTCTCGGAGCGCTACGGATAATTCCTTCGGTTTTTGCTCTGACATGCACTGTCAACTGTGGGACCTTATATAGACAGGGGTGTGCCTTTCCAGATCATGTCCAATCAATCAAATTTACCACAGGTTGACTCCAATCAAGTTGTAGAAACATCTCAAGGATGATCAATGGAAACAGGATGCACCTAAACTCAATTTCAAGTCTCATAGCAAAGGGTCTGAATACTTATGTAAATAAGGTATCTGTTTTTTATTTGTAATACATTTGCAAAATGTATGTATTAATAATAATCAGGAATGACAGTGAAATTGGTTTGTCATATGAATATTGCTCATATGCCACCATGACATACATTACGAGGATGATCCACATGTGATGGTGGATTAATGAACTGAAGTTAGGATCCTTTCCCTGGCTAATCAAAAACTGCCGCTGGGCTCAACACCATTCCTCTATTAAGAGAGATAATGGCTGATGCAGTTTTCCTTTGTCAGTCTGCTGTGTGAGAGAATTTGACCTCTTTTCACTGTAGCTTTAAGGCCAAGTCTCCCAGAGGAGCTGTGTTTCTGGAGGAGGGAGAGAGGGGCTGGGGATTAGCTGTGTGTGTGGGATAACTGGGCCTCTCCAGCTGCTGGATCATTGGGTGCTCCACAGGAAATCCCAAAACGGCATTCACATTCTAGGAGGAACTCAACAGTTTTTAGAAAGTACAATGTTGTGCGCGCCATTGCATCATGTAGGAAACTATTAAGAACGTAGGCTATGAGCTGGTGCTGGATTTGAAACAGACTTTAAAGTCTATGCCAGTGTCTTTAAAGTATACACTAAGTTCTTCTATCCAATGCAGCACTAAAAGTGAGAAAATGTGCAGCACACAAGTTGATCATGAATGATTCAAGTAACTGTCCAGTGTTTCCAGATTTCTATTAGATTTGACCTATAACTAATTACAATATGAGTTAAATCATTTTCCTTCCAAAAAATGGTAATTAAGTATGTTAAAAAGCAGCTTTTCTGTGTTGAAATGGTGTGGGCGTACCCCAGTGGCGGTTAGTGGTGTTCAAGATAAGGTAGGACAATTTTTTTAAATAAGTATGGCCTTATTTCTATTACAGCATATTGGATGACTGACATTCATATTCCATTCACCCAACTCAATGTAACATCGATAGGTTTAGCCTTCTACATGATATTCGAATTTGCACTACACCCATCATGAGGCTGCTACAACCAAGCCTACAAATGAATGTTTATTATGTAGGTGCACAGGTAGAGAAACAAATTGGAGCAATCACCTTTTCCATTCGCTTGTGGACTTCAGTGCACAAGACAACAGCTGTCCGTGACCGGAAATAGCAAGCATTTTTTAAACGGTCTGTTTGAGATACGAGTTTGAGGTGTTTTTTTCTATAATATATGCTTTGACCACAAATACAAGTATAGGATCAGTCAAAAATATTATTTGGGTATGAGTTAAAGGCATATGAACTTTAAAAGTGAGATTTTCACTGGACAGTTAATAACTTTAATAACGCCAATTGAACTACCCATTATAATGAATCAGGATTAATTGTTAATGATAAAATTATCAATCACAACAATATTCCACTGAAGTTCATTTCCAAAAAAATAAATGCCTAAAAGATGGTGGCTCTCTGCCACCCTACTCTAACCCAAAATTGAAAGAGGCAATCATGAGATGACACTGTCATTAGAAACACATAATATTCATAGGAAATGTTGCTTGGGAGCGGAAACAAGAAATAATAGCAATGATGGGTCATAATTGCATTTCACATCTGATCCTCTCTACCAAATGTCAGTCAGGGCCAGGAGTAATACATTTACATTTGGATTCATTATCAGCCAAGTTCATGGACTGTTTTGTGTCTGAGGGCACATGTAGATTTATTCAAGCAGTGTAATAACAATCTGGAACATAGCCCTGGTCTATCTGCAATCTGCACTGTGCCCTAGCTACAGTATGTTGGTTTATTCAAGTGCATAAGCATTCATAATCTCATAAATCTGTGAGCTTGTTAGCTAAAATAGGTTTATCCTTTGTTGGAGAGAAAAATAGCACCAAACGTCATGATAAATATTCATAACAAGGCAAAAATAGATGCATATACCAGCTTCAGCCTGACATTTCCAGAAGATACCAACAACTGGCTGCAGAGGTATTGGAGACAATTGACGCTCATACTGTTTTTCTACAGCTATCTGCCTTTTTAGGGTAAAATGAAATATTCCCCCTAAAACTAGTCATCTGTAAGTAACCAACCTAATCTAGAGTCCTCCATGGGAAAAGGCTATTCAATAACGGAGTATGTACTGAACACTTTCCTTAGCACCAAACAATGAATTAAGTGAAATCATATAGATAATCAGGAATCTGTGGTAATGCCTATTTCTAAATTCTGTTGAAAATATCTTTATGCTTTGCAGTAAATAATACATTTTCCATCTGCAATCCTGTTCGAGACAAAACACATCAAAGACAATGATCCCTTGACAAACATTCCAGCTTAGATTCTTAGTTTGAGGCGATTTAGAAGAATGGAGCACCGACACAATGATCAAACAGTTGTCAGATGATTTGTAGATATAATAACAAATACTAGAAAATAAAAGATTGTGTTGAACCATGCAAAAGGGAAATATCTCTACTTTCACTGCATAAAAATAGAACAAGTGAATTATATTTCCATTCTTAGGGTGATAAATCTGACAAGGTGCAAATAGAAAAATATAGCACTGTGTGACAGGATGTGACAATTATTTGAGATTAGTGAGATGAATAAAATATGCATAATATTCTGGCACTGAACACTTCAACAAAGCAAAGTGGCTTTAGTGTACACTGGAAGGAGAACTTGAGACAGAGGTAACACCTGGGACACAAGTAGACTTAACAGTAACACAAGAGGCAGCCTTAGTGTACTTCTCATTGTATTTATTAGTGAATCAATACAGGTGGAATAAAGGCTTCATCATTATTTAGCTTCAGAAATGGCAAGCTCTTTCCCATTTACATTATTTTGCATAATTCTGCACACAGCAGTCTCACCCACCGGTATGAGAAGGGAAAAAAAAGCATATTTAAATAAATAACAGGAAAACATAAACCAACATTTTGTTCTCTTTAGGCTTCGGTAAAGCAAATTGAAATAGCATATTACGGTCAACATTATTTAAAGAGCACTAAGTATGCTCTTTGAGATGATCAGCAATGTACCTATTCAATTATATTTAACAATTGCTTTAAATTGCAGTACATAAATAAACAATTGTGAACAATTGTCCACATGAAGAAATACCCTTGTCCATATAGATAGCCTTTTATTTATTTTTTATTTGATTCAATCAACCAAACCCATTCCCTGGGTTTAGCACATTAAAGTAAACAGACACTTGCCACTGCTTCAGAGGGCCTGAACAGTACTGATGAGGTGACTGTACAGTACACAGGAGAGAGAAACCAGACCAAGATGACCCACGTTGGTCTTTATACAGGTACTGTATATGGCTATCCATAAAACATAACAGTTGGGGGCATTTACCATGGGGAAATTAAATGCAGGGCCTGGTGCATTGAATTATTACAGTAGGGTGCCCCTGTTGGTTTGGTGACAGAATAAAAATCCCTTTCTCGTGTCGGTTGAAATATACAGCCTTCTCCTGCAGCACCACCACCCCAGCAGCCAGACAGAAGTGACAAGGATCAAAAATCATGATGACTTTCTCATGAATGTATTTATTTCTCTGTGCCACTCACCTGGGGAATCACTGAGCCTCCATTCTCAGTTAGAATCTTTCTGACCTCTATGACATCGGCATCCCAGAGAGACTGGAACAGCGAAAGCCAATAATCTTCTATAATACCAGAGACCCTGTGCAGATGGGACTTTCTACATGAAACGTTGCTGATTGTGATGCACTAAAGGAAATCTGAAGGATGATAAACTATAGTCGAACAGCCTCATGGCACCACGCCAACACTAATATAAAAAAATGAAAATGACATTTCTTCAATGAGCCAATCATATTGGAGATTCTCAGTATGCAATATGGTTGTCTTAAAAAAAATTACTTGTGCAATTCAGTTTGCATGAGATACATCCTCTGGGAAGGACGGTTCTTTGTGCTTCACATCCTTTGTCTGTAGACCTCCTCCTAAGGGTAAAAAATTGTGCCCTCCCACCTTCGTTAGAGTTCATTACATGCAGATTCCTCCGCCGTCTTGAACATTAAGATGGAGTTGTAGATCTTAATGGCTGGACCCAGCTTGATGCTCATGATCTTCACCAAGTCAACCTGGGTCAACAGCAGGAAGGCTTCACCATCTATTTGCTGGACAAAAACATGGGAGGGAAGAGTTAGAGAAGTCTCACATTTTAAAATGGACACCATCAAAGCGCTTTCCTAATGACCATTTTTGCCTAAGGAATATGTTTCCACATTCACATAGCAGGCAGCTTAGAATTCACTTCAAAGCAAGGGTTTTTAAGGATTCTCCACCATGAGGGTGATGCAAATGTTCATGCCTCATTAGAGGGGGTGATATTCAGAGGTTGAGTCATATTCTACCTTTAACAACCTGTCGTAACATCAACCGCTATTACCGCTGACAGAAAGGCACAACATGAACATAATTTCATGAGAACCATGAGAAGAATTTCCTGTGTTTAATGACTTGGATAATCTGTAGAGATAGGCCTATTTGAGTGTGCGAATCAAAGTACACTTTTTTGCCTTAAACCACAGGCCTCTGGGACAATTAAGTTATTAAATGTTTTTGTTGTCAACAATTATTTTTATTGCGTCACAAAGGCAATACAATCAATAATATTTTAAAGATATTATCTGAAGATTAACACAATACACCAATTTATAGAAAAGATTACCAAAGACTACCTATCCTCAATCCAAGTCTTTGTTTCTGGAGCTGAAAATACTCTGGTTTGATGGGAGAGGATGAAATGATGGGGGACATATGAGAGTGAATCAGGTGTCCACCAGCAGACTGTGTGACAGCTGTTTCTAGTGACAGCTGCTCTGTTTGCAGTCCTCAGTCAATCAATCAGTCAGTCAGTCAGGGACTAGTACTGCATGTCTTATTCATAACCACTTCCACCACTCAATTTAGCTCCAGAGAAATATTTGTCTTGAGTTGCCTTTATTAGCCATTGGAACAGCTGGGTAATCCTTTAGTCGTTAACAGTTCTATAAAGTGACTCCATTCATGGATGTCAATCAACCTGCCAGCATATTCATTATTTTCCCCATTGACCCACTGCCTCAAGTAGAGAGGTTCATGGACACAGCAATTATCAATATGCCGACATGTATCTCTAAGGACTGTTAGTTGAACTACTGAACTCCTACAACCCTTACACCTCTATTACACTGCATGAATAAAAGTTGTCATTTAAAAGTTACATAACATCCATTGGTGCGTTTTGCAGAGGCACTTAAACTCTGAGGCAGACACAGATAAGGAGATCACACCATTATGAAGGATAATGTGAAGGTAATGCATCCGATGACAACAAAATGGGATCTGTGTGTGTGTGTGTGTCAGTGGAGGCTCCTTAGAGGAGGAAGGTAAGGACCATCCTCCTCAGTGAATTTCAGAAAAATAAAATAGTGAAATATTAAAAACGTTATCCTTTTTAGATAAAACTATACTAAATATATTTACGTCACCAAATAATTGATTAAAACGAACTGTTTTTCAATGAAGGTTTACAGTAGCCTCAACAGCACTCTGTAGGGTAGCAACATGGTGTAGCCGGAGGACAGCTAGTTTCCGTCCTCCTCTGGGTACATTGACTTCAATACAAAACCTAGGAGGCTCGTGGTTCTCACCCCCTTCCATAAGCCCTATTCGCACGGGACTAGTAATACTATAGGACGTCAGTTAAGTAATTATTACACCAGCATGTCCGTTTTTACAGTGGTCGATTCGGAAGAGATTAGTTTTACCAAACTGCCCCTGTAATTCTTTTTTTTCCTCATTCACAATTTACCATTATGACGGAAGCCTGGAGGCTCTTCTAAGCGTGACGATATTTCAAATGTCTAGGGATAGCCTAATATTGGGCTAATGGCCTTCAGTTCGGAGAAAGTCAAAATAATCATGCGTATCAATAAGAACCATGAACTGTAACCTATGCAGACATTTAATTACATGACGTACACTACACAACCAAAAATATGTGGACACCTGCTCGTCAAACATCTCATTCCAAAATCATGGGCATTTATATGGAGTTGGTGCCCCCTCTGCTGCTATAACAGCCTCCACACTTCTTGGAAAGCTTTCCACTACATGTTGGAACATTGCTGCGGGTACTTGCTTCCATTCAGCCACAAGAGCATTAGTGAGGTCGGGCACTGATGTTGGGCGATTAGGCCTGGCTCGCAGTCAGCGTTCCAATTCATCCCAAAGGTGCTCGATGGGGTTGAGGTCAGGGCTCTGTGCAGGCCAGTGAAGTTCTTCCAAACTGATCTCGACAAACCATTTCTGTATGGACCTTGCGTTGTCATGGGGGCATTGTCATACTGAAACAGGAAAGGGCCTTCCCCAAACAAAGTTGGGAGCACAGAATCGTCTAGAATGTAATTGTATGCTGTAGCGTTAAGATTTCCCTTCACTGGAACTAAGGGGCCTAGCCCAAACCATGAAAAACAGTCCCAGACCATTATTACTCCTCCACTTAACGTTACAGTTGGCAATATGCATTCGGGCAGGTAGCGTTCTCCTGGCATCTGGCAAACCCAGATTCGTCCGTTGGACTGCCAGATGGCGAAGCGTGATTCATCACTCCAGAGAATGCATATCCACTGCTCCAGAGTCCAATGGCAACGAGCTTTACAGCACTCCAGCCGACTCTTGGCATTGCGCATGGTGATCTTAGTCTTGAGTGCGGCTGCTCAGCCATGGAAACCCATTTCATGAAACTCCCGACGAACAGTTCTTGTGCTTACGTTGCTTCCAGAGACTGTTTGGAACTCGGTAGTGAGTGTTGCAACCGAGAACAGATTATTTTTACATGCTGCGTGCTTCAGCACTCGGCGGTCCCGTTCTGCGAGCTTGTGTGGCCTACCACTTTGCGGCTGAGCCGTTGTTGCTCCTAGACGTTTCCACTTCACAATAACAGCAATAACAGTTGACCGGGGAAGCTCTAGCAGGGCAGAAATTTGACGGACTGACTTGTTGGAAAGGTGGCATTCTATGACGGTACCACGTTGAAACTCACCGATCTCTTCAGTAAGGCCATTCTACTGCCAATGTTTGTCTATGGAGATTGCATGGCTGTGTGCTTTATACAACTGTCAGCAACGGGTGTGACTGAAATAGCTGATTCCACTAATTTGAAGGGGTGTTCACATACTTTTGTATTTATAGTGTATTTGGCAAATTATAAATTCATTGGCACAATATCATCCACTTCATCATTTAAAAGAGAAGTAGGGCACTAGGAAATGTGATATATGACAAAACAGATAATCTGTAGGCTACGTGCATAGCACTTTGATTTAAGCATCAACTTGTTCCCATGTTCTTCCCCAAACTGGGTGCAGGTAATATCCCTCAAAACACAGGGATGACGATTTGCACGGGATAGTGCACTTACGATGTAAACTTTCATTCATAGGCTAGGTTGTAGCAACCTCATGATGGGTATAGGGAAAATTCAAATATCATGTAGTGGCCTAAACCTATCGATGTTACATTGACCTGGGTGAATGGAATATGAATGAGAGTCATTCAATATGCTGTAATAGAGATTATGCCATGATTATTTAAAAGAAAATAGTCTCCACTCATCTTAAACAGCACCGACCACTACTGGCATGTGTGTCTGTATGTGTGCGTGTGTGTGTGTATGTATCAGTGGTTAGCTGCATGTACTGTATTGAAACTGTACCTCATCTCTGAATGTGTGCACGTGTTCCTTACAGCCTGGAAGACCTTGGATGAACTCAATCACCTGTAACACATTGGACATCATGGTTAGTACAGTTATTCAAATGAACAGCACAGTCACTGCACAGCAAGCAACATTGTAATGACAATGTAAATCATCCATTACCTCCTCCACTGTCCACGAAGCCACTTTGCTTGAAGTGATGCCAGCCACAGTGGGCAGTAGCTTGCTGTGCTGGTCCCAACAGAAAGGAGTGCTGCTAGGGGATGGCGAGGTGCATGGCATGAACACTGACTGGTGAAGGGCTTGTTGTAGTGTCAGCTCTACTGTAGTGAAGGGAAGGAAATAAACATACAAAAATCCTCAAATGAATTCACTTACTTTGAAAAAAGCAAGGAATTTGTTGCTGTGGTTACCTGAAGATAAACAGCTTGATACTAAAGTAATCACCATATTGCCCTCAAAGCTCATCACTAAGCTAAGGACCCTGGGACTAAATACCTCCTCTACAACTGGATCCTGTACTTCCTGACAGGCCGCCCCCAGGTGGAAACGGTAGGTAATAACACATCTGCCACGCTGATCCTCAACACGGGGGCCCCTCAGGGGTGCGTGCTCAGTCCCCTCCTGTACTCCCTGTTCACCCATGACTGCATGGCCAGGCACAACTCCAACACCATCATTAAGTTTGCCGACGACACAACAGTGGTAGGCCTGATTCACCGACAACGATTTGATGACAGCCTTGGACGCCTTAAGGGGAGGTCAGAGACCTGGCCGTTTGTGGTGCCTCAATAAAGTTCTACAGCTGCACCATCGAGGAGCATCCTGATGGTTGGTTGCATCACTGCCTGGTATGGCAACTGCTCGGCCTCCGACCGCAAGGCACTACAGAGGGTAGTGCGTACGGCTCAGTACATCACTGGGGCCAAGCTTCCTGCCATCCAGGACCTCTATACTAGGCGGTGTTAGAGGAAGGCCCTAAAAAATGTCAAAGACTCCAGCCACCCTAGTCATAGACTGTTCTCTCTGCTACCGCACGGCAAGCGGTACCGGAGTGCCAAGTCTAGGTCCAAAAGGCTTCTTAAGAGCTTCTACCCCCAAGCCATAAAGACTCCTGAACAGCTAATCAAATGGCTACCTGGACTATTTGCATTGTGCCCCCACCCACCCCATCTTTTACGCTGTTGCTACTCTCTGTTTATTATCTATGCATAGTGACTTTAACTCTACCTACATGTACATATTACCTAAATTACCTCGACTAACCTGTTCCCCCGCACATGGACTCTGTACCGGTACCCCCTGTATATAGCCTCGCTACTGTTATTTTACTGCTGCTCTTTCATTATTATTATTATTATTATTATTATTAATTTTTTACTTATCACTTATTTTTCTTAAAACTGCATTGTTGGTTAAGGGCTTGTAAGTAAGCATTTCACTGTAAGGTCTACAACTGTTGTAATTGTATATTATTTCATCTGATGGAAGTATTTGGAAAGGTTAGAAGAAACAGAATGCAGATGCTTGCCGCTCACTCCTAACCATATAAGGAAGCTGCGCGAATCAGTCTAATCAGATAGTGAGTTAATGCTGACTGTTTCTTTGCTCCAGGCATAAACACAGCTTTGAGCATCTTCCAACGTTTATCTCCTAAAATTGATAATTGGTCATGACAATTCAAGTGAAGTGAAAAATTGTGATGTCTTGAGAGTAATTGATGGAACACAAAGATAAATGGGGAGGAACACATCTAGAGAGATTAAGATTAAGATCACTTTACTGGTTAATTGCACACAAGGTCCAACCGAAATTTGACTTCCGCTTTTAACCCAACCCTTCCGAAAGACACACATACAGTACCAGTCAAAAGTTTGAACACACCTACTCATTCAAGGTTTTTTATTTATATTTACATCGTAGAATAATAGTGAAGAAATCAAAACTATGAAATAACACATATGGAATCATGTAGTAACCAAAAAATTGTTAAAGAAATCAAAACACATTTTATATTTTAGATTCTTCAAAGTAGCCACCCTTTGCCTTGATGACAGCTTTGCACTCTCTTGGCATTCTCTCAACCAGCTTCACCTGGAATGCTTTTCCAACAGTCTTGAAGGAGTTCCCACATATACTGAGCACTTGTTGCTTTTCCGTCACTCTGCAGTCCAACTCATCCCAAACCATCTCAATTGGGTTGAGGTCGGGTGACTGTGGAGGCCAGGTCATCTGATGCAGCACTCAATCACTCTCCTTCTTGGTCAAATAGCCCTTACACAGCCTGGAGGTGTGTTGGGTCATTGTCCTGTTGAAAAACAAATGATAGTGCCACTAAGCGCAAACCAGATTGGATGGCGTATTGCTGCAGAATGCTGTGGTAGCCATGCTGGTTAAGTGTGCTATGAATTCTAAATAAATCACAGACAGTGTTACCAACAAAGCACCGTTCACCTACTCTAATGTCCATTGCTTGTGTTTCTTGGTCCAAGCAAGTCTCTTCTTATTATTGGTGTCCTTTAGTAGTGGTTTCTTTGCAGCAATTCGACCATGAAGGCCTGATTCACGCAGTCTCCTCTGAACAGTTGATGTTTAGCTGTGTCTGTTACTTAAACTCTGTGAAGCATTTATTTGGGCTGCAATTTCTGAGGCTGGTAACTCTAATGAATTTATCATCTGCAGCAGAGGTAACTCTGGGTCTTCCTTTCCTGTGGCGGTCCTCATGAGAGTCAGTTTCATCATAGCGCTTGATGGTTTTTGCGACTTCACCTTTAAAGTTCTTGAAATGATCCGGATTGACTGACCTTCATGTCTTAAAGTAATGATGGACTGTCGTTTCTCTTTGCTTATTTGAGCTGTTCTTGCCATAATATGGACTTGGTATTTTACAAAATAGGGCTATCTTCTGTATACCACCCCTACCTTGTCACAACACAACTGATTGGCTCAAACGCATTAAGAAGTAAAGAAATTCCACAAATTAACTTTTAAGAAGGCACACCTGTTAATTGAAATGCATTCCAGGTGACTACCACATGAAGCTGGTTGAGAGAATGCCAAGCGTGTGCAAAGCTGTCATCAAGGCAAAGGGTGGCTACTTTGAAGAATCTCAAATATAAAATATTTTTTTATTTGTTAACACTTTTTTGGTTACTACATGATTCCATATGTGTTATTTCATAGTTTTGATGTCTTCACTATGTAGAAAATAGTAAAAATGAAGAAAAACCCTTGAATGAGTAGGTGTGTCCAAACTCCTCACTGGTCCTGTACATACACATCGTTTTTTTTTTTTATGTAGGAACTAATATACTGTAGCAAGAGAGGGAAGCAATTACAGTCAGAACCAATTAGAGAGGTTTCGGCCAATAGCAAAGGTCACAGTCACAGACTCATGGGTCATAATTCTTTAGTATAAATTTAATGAGGTGACAGTTGTGACACAGCAACTTCATGCAACTTTACTTTGGTTGACGGAGAAACAGTTGTTCGCTTATGAAGTATTTTTTGGAAGAGTCTTCACTCGCCATTCTGCTGAGTAAATACCTGGGAGGCACTGGGTGTTACTCCTGCATATGCATGTTAGAGAATGATCACTACTCATTAAATCTAGAATATATATACTGTGTGTGTGTATATATACAGTTGAAGTCACCTTAGCCAAAATATTTGAAACAGTTGGAAGTTTGGGATACGTTTAGAAAACCTTTTGCAACCCACTTAACATGCTCTTGATTTTACTACAGGCTATGGCAATGTTTTTTGTAGTTGCAGTCCACCCAATTGAAAAGTGCACATTCTATCCATAACATTTGTTCTAGGCTATCAGCATGTACAGTTGAAGTCGGAAGTTTACATACACCTTAGCCAAATACATTTAAACTAAGTTTTCACAATTCCTGACATTTAATCCTAGTAAATATTCCCTGTCTTAGGTCAGTTAGGATCACCACTTTATTTTAAGAATGTGAAATGTCAGAATAATAGTAGAGAGAATGTTTTATTTCTTTAATCACATTCCCAGTGGGTCAGAGGTTTACATACACTCAATTAGTATTTGGTAGCATTGCCTTTAAATTGTTTAACTTGGGTCAAACGTTTCGGGTAGCCTTCCACAAGCTTCCCACAATAAGGTGGGTGAATTTTGGCCCATTCCTCCTGACAGAGCTGGTGTAACTGAGTCAGGTTTGCAGGCCTCCTTGCTCGCACACGCTTTTTCAGTTCTACCCACACATTTTCTATAGGATTGAGGTCAGGGCTTTGTGATGGCCACTCCAATACCTTGACTTTGTTATCCTTAAGCCATTTTGCCACAACTTTGGAAGTATGCTTGGGGTCATTGTCCATTTGGAAGACCCATTTGTGACCAAGCTTTAACTTCCTGACTGATGTCTTGAGATGTTGCTTCAATATATCCACATAATTTTCCTTCCTCATGATGCCATCTATGTTGTGAAATGCACCAGTCCCTCCTGCAGCAAAGCACCCCCACAGCATGATGCTGCCACCCCCGTGCTTCACGGTTGGGATGGTGTTCTTTGGCTTGCAAGCATTCCCCTTTTTCCTCCAAACATAACGATGGTCATTATGGCCAAACAGTTCTATTTTTGTTTCATCAGACCATAGGACATTTCTCCAAAAAGTACGATCTTTGTCCCCATGTGCAATTGCAAACCGTATTCTGGCTTTTTTATGACGGTTTTTGAGCAGAGGCTTCTTCCTTGCTGAGCGGCCTTTCAGGTTATGTCGATATAGGCCTCGTTTTATTGTGGATATAGATACTTTTCTACCTGTTTCCTCCAGCATCTTCACAAGGTCCTTTGCTGTTGTTCTGGGAGTGATTTGCACTTTTTGCACCAAAGTACGTTCATCTCTAGGAAACAGAACGCGTCTCCTTCCTGAGCGGTATGACGGCTGCGTGGTCCCATGGTGTTTATACTTGCGTACTATTGTTTGTATAGATGAATGTGGTACCTTCAGGCATTTGGGAATTGCTCCCAAGGATGTACCAGACTTGTGGAGGTCTATAGTTTTTTTTCCTGAGGTCTTGGCTGATTTCTTTTGATTTACCCATGATGTCAAGCAAAGAGGCATTGAGTTTGAAGGTAGGCCTTGAAATACATCCACAGGTACACCTCCAATTGACTCAAATGATGTCAATTAGCCTATCAGAAGCTTCTAAAGCCATGACATCGTTTTCTGGAATTTTCCAAGCTGTTTAAAGGCACAGTCAACTTAGTGTATGTAAACTTCTGACCCACTGGAATTGTGATACAGTGAATTATAAGTGAAATAATCTGTCTGTAAACAATTGTTGGAAAAATGTGTGCACAAGGTAGATGTCCTAACCGACTTGCCAAAACTATAGTTTGTTAACAAGACATTTGTGGAGTGGTTGAAACACTAGTTTTAATGACTCCAACCTAAGTGTATGTAAACTTCTGACTTCAACTGTAGCTGTTCTTAATTCTTTAGAGTCTAAGACGTTTGGGGGTGGGGAGGGGGTGGGGAGGGGGTGCTAATCTGACATATGGAATTGTTTTAAGATGGTCATACTATGGATCATTTCGCTATTTGATTTGGAATTTTCTGACCCCTTTATGTATCAAAAAAATATATCAAAAAAATATTTAATTAAATAAAAATTTTCGCCTAAAGCCCATAGAAACGCACTGAATAACACATTCATAAATGGCAAAAAGGAGAGCCCAAAAATGAATCGTAAGACACACGGTTTTGAAGTGTCTGTCCTTAATCTAGGAGATATAAAAAAAAGTAGCATTTTTATTTTATTTGTACACATATTTAACCCCTTTTTTGGGGCAGGCACAAAACTACCTTCATACTTCCATTCGTTTTTTTGAACCGGTACCAGCTACCTTCAGACCAGTCCCGTGACACTTGTGGGGGTCGTAGCGCAAAACGGAGAACATTGTGTTCGTGAGAGTCACCCCTTTCCATAGAGTGGTCATAATGGTTTGTACGTCAAACCGTTCAGACGTTTACGTGAGAAGACTGATTTTCGGGATATCATGATTGAACAAACACCGCTCTAGCTCTGCCACTTTTCATCGCAGATGTGGAAGTGTGGCACTGGCGGATGCAGTGGATTGTTATGTAATTTAGGTTCACGCACCGGTGTGTCAATCAACTCTAGGGATTCTAATCGCAAACCCCTTTGAAATCAGATCTAAAATCTCTCATGACCATATTATGATTCTACTGCGTTGATGAAGCAATTGCCTACTTCACTTCATCTATTTATCTCCAGTAGAGTGATCAGACTCACTCATCATCACATTTAGCTTTAATAATACAATGATCAATGTTAATATGAATGCATTTTTTAAATTATCAAAATTATCAGGTCAGGACTTAAAACCAAAATCGTGCATTATGTTTGATTACAATAAAATCTATTTTGTAAGTTGTTGATTTGTCCATATTTATCTGCTCCATGCGGCACCACTGAATATGCTAGGCATTAGAATGAAAATAAGAACTGAAGACATGAATAGAATAATGAGCATTTGTTGCTGTATAGGATGCATAGGTCTAGGAATAATCACATGAAAGGGACCCATATAAAATGACACAGAGAGAGATGGAGCTTTGAAAACTTCTTACTGAAGGTGATCAAAGACAAAGTGTCTTTACTGTCCAAGGCAGATATAAAGACTAATTAACCCAGCATCATCATTTACGGAGCTAGAGGAGGGAGACAGTCATTCAATGTCACCCGGAAACATATACAGTGGGGAGAACATGTATTTGATACACTGCCGATTTTGCAGGTTTTCCTACTTACAAAGCATGTAGAGGTCTGTAATTTTTATCATAGGTACACTTCAACTGTGAGAGACGAAATCTAAAACAAAAATCTTTTGTAAAATTTTAAAGTAATTAATTTGCATTTTATTGCATGACTTAAGTATTTGATCACTTACCAACCAGTAAGAATTCCGGCTCTCACAGACCTGTTAGTTTTTCTTTAAGAAGCCCTCCTGTTCTCCACTCATTACCTGTATTAACTGCACCTGTTTGAACAAAATTGTAGACCTGCACAAGGCTGGGATGGGCTACAGGACAATAGGCAAGCAGCTTGGTGAGAAGGCAACAACTGTTGGCGCAATTATTAGAAAATGGAAGAAGTTCAAAATGATGGTCAATCACCCTCGGTCTGGGGCTCCATGCAAGATCTCACCTCGTGGGGCATCAATGATCATGAGGAAGGTGAGGGATCAGCCCAGAACTACATGGCAGGACCTGGTCAATGACCTGAAAAGAGCTGGGACCACAGTCTCAAGAAAACCATTAGTAACACACTACGCCGTCATGGATTAAAATCCTGCAGCGCACGCAAGGTCCCCCTGCTCAAGCCAGCGCATGTCCAGGCCCGTCTGAAGTTTGCCAATGACCATCTGGATGATCCAGAGGAGGAATGGGAGAAGGTCATGTGGTCTGATGAGACAAAAATAGAGCTTTTTGGTCTAAACTCCACTCGCCATGTTTGGAGGAAGAAGAAGGATGAGTACAACCCCAAGAACACCATCCCAACCGTGAAGCATGGAGGTGGAAACATCATTCTTTGGGGATGCTATTCTGCAAAGGGGACAGGACGACTGCACCGTATTGAGAGGAGGATGGATGGGACCATGTATCCCGAGATCTTGGCCAACAACCTCCTTCCCTCAGTAAGAGCATTGAAGATGGGTCGTGGCTGGGTCTTCCAGCATGACAACGACCCGAAACACACAGCCAGGGCAACTAAGGAGTGGCTCCGTAAGAAGCATCTCAAGGTCCTGGAGTGGCCTAGCCAGTCTCCAGACCTGAACCCAATAGAAAACCTTTGGAGGGAGCTGAAAGTCCGTATTGCCGACATCCCCGAAACCTGAAGGATCTGGAGAAGGTCTGTATGGAGGAGTGGGCCAAAATCCCTGCTGCAGTGTGTGCAAACCTGGTCAAGACCTACAGGAAACGTATGATCACTGTAATTACAAACAAAGGTTTCTGTACCAAATATTAAGTTCTGCTTTTCTGATGTATCAAATACTTATGTCATGCAATAAAATGCAGATTAATTACTTAGAAATCATACAATGTGATTTTCTGGATTTTTGTTTTCGATTCCGTCTCTCACAGTTGAAGTGTACCTATGATAAAAATTACAGACCTCTACATGCTTTGTAAGTAGGAAAACCTGCAAAATCGGCAGTGTATCAAATACATGCTGTTTACAGTTACTACACACAGAGTAGTGGCAGACACCCCAACGGTCAGAAAGGTCAGTGCCGTTTGATGTCTGTTTCAGGAAAACATCTTCTGTCTGTCTCTGTATTCAAATAATATTCCCCTCCAGTTTGCTGCTTGCTGCTGGTTCACTCTCATGACTGGCTATGTAGTCTTCTATCCCTTCAGAGGAGTGAGAACTCAGAGCCTTGGATGTTCTGACACTGGAACATCACACAAAGAACCCTGAATCCACAGTCCTGTACTGTAGAAGGAGGGAGTCATTCATATTGCTTTAAGGTTTTCCCTATTGTTTTTAGATTAGGTTTAAACTACACTGTAAAGACAGTTTTGGTATGCAGTGCTGTTTGGTTTCATTTGGAGAGGATGGGAATATTAGAATTCTCAATAAATGAACTGAAACCAAAGGAGCTAGGCTTAAATGACGACAAACAAGAAATTAAAATAATTTCAGCGTGTGCCAAAGACATGAACATCCACATAATAACACTGTGTGAAACTGTTTTGAGAGCGTGTGCCTAGCTCTGGCAAGACACAGAATAAGGGGAGAGACATCCCAAGAGGTGAAGACATTCAGCATAGTAAAAGACAGAGGGAGAGATGGATCTACATTACTGATTCATACTGTGAAGGAAGGCACTGGGTAATGACTGGGAGTCAATAGATCAGACTGTACCAGGAATCGACACTGTGCATTGATGCTCTTAAATTATTTGAATGATAGGAAGAATAGGATGTTGTTCAGAGACAGTACAGTACCTTTGGTTTCCATTATGCATGACACCTCACTCTTTATCCCCTCCTCCACCGGCTCCTCTACCTTCCTCTGCTTGCATGGCCGCCCAACCCTGGGAGAGAGGAGGGGGTCAATAGAGACACACAGACAGGGCAGGAACTGGGATCACACAATTTGAAAACAAAACTTTTCACGACATATTGAGTCACTACTTCATTGATTATCACTGTACATTCCAAGATGTTCAAATACTAGCCGTCACTACTACTGGACTTCCTGACAGGCCGCCCCCAGGTGGTAAGGGTAGGTAACAACACATCTGCCACACTGATCCTCAACACGGGGGCCCCTCAGGGGTGCGTGCTCAGTCCCCTCCTGTACTCCCTGTTCACCCATGACTGCATGGCCAGGCACGACTCCAACACCATCATTAAGTTTGCTGACGACACAACAGTGGTAGGCCTGATCACCGACAACGATGAGACAGCCTATAAGGAGGAGGTCAGAGACCTGGCCGTGTGGTGCCAGGATAACAACCTCTCCCTCAACGTGACCAAGACAAAGGAAATGATTGTGGACTACAGGGAAAAAAAAGAGGACTGAGCACGCCCCCATTCTCATCGACGGGGCTGTAGTGGAACAGGTTGAGAGCTTCAAGTTCCTTGGTGTCCACATCACCAACGAACTATCATGGTCCAAACACACCAAGACAGTCGTGAAGAGGGCACGACAAAGCCTATTCCCCCTCAGGAGACTGAAAAGATTTGGCATGGGTCCTCAGATCCTCAAAAAATTATACAGCTGTACCATCGAGAGCATCCTGACTGGTTGCATCACCGCCTGGTATGGCAACTGCTTGGCCTCCGACCGTAAGGCACTACAGAGGGTAGTACGTACAGCCCAGGACATCACTGGGGCCAAGCTTCCTGCCATCCAGGACCTCTATAAAAGGCGGTGTCAGAGGAAGGCCCTCAAAATTGTCAAAGACTCCAGCCACCCTAGTCATAGACTGTTCTCTCTGCTACCGCACGGCAAGCGGTACCGGAGTGCCAAGTCTAGGTCCAAAAGACTTCTCAACAGCTTCTACCCCCAAGCCATAAGACTCTTGAACAGCTAATCATGGCTACCCGGACTATTTGCACTGCCCCCCCACCCCATCTTTTTACGCTGCTGCTACTCTGTTAATTATTTATGCATAGTCACTTTAACTCTACCCACGTGTACATATTACTTCAACTACCTCAACTAGCCGGTGCCCCCGCACATTGACTCTGCACCGGTACCCCCCTGTATATATATATAGCCTCCTTACTGTTATTTTATTTTACTTCTGCTCTTTTTTTCTCAACACTTTTTTGTTGTTGTTTTATTTTACTTTTTTATTAAAAATAAATGCACTGTTGGTTAAGGGCTGTAAGTAAGCATTTCACTGTAATGTCTGCACCTGTTGTATTCGGCGCATGTGGCCAATATAATTTGATTTGATTTGATTTGAAAATGCAATGTAGCTTGTAATCACTTTTAAATCATACTCAATCAACATGCTGCTCTGATTTAGTCTTGATAATTCCTAAATAACAGGGTGATGACTTGAGTTTCTCTCTAAATTAAACTTAGCTAAGGCATTATGTCTCCTCTCTTCTCCATGTAAAAAATAAAATAAAAAAGGTAAGCCAGTTGAGAACAAGTTCTCATTTACAACTGCGACCTGGCCAAGATAAAGCAAAGCAGTGCGATAAAAACAACAACAACACAGAGTTACATATGGAATAAACAAAACGTACAGTCAATAACACAATAGAAAATATATATACAGTGTGTGCAAATGTAGAAAGTTACGGAGGTAAGGCAATAAATAGGCCATAGTGCAAAAAAATTACAATTTAGTATTAACACTGGAGTGATAGATGTGCAGAAGATGATGTGCAAATAGAGATACTGGGGTGCAAATGAGCAAAATAAATAACAATGTAAATATCAATATGGGGATGAGGTAGTTGGGTGGGCTAATTACAGATGGGCTGTGTACAGGTGCAGTGATCAGTAAGCTGCTCTGACAACTGATGCTTAAAGTTAGTGAGGGAGATAAGTGTCTCCAGCGTCAGAGATTTTTGCAGTTCGTTCCAGTCATTTGCAACAGAGAACTGGAAGGAATGGCGGCCAAAGGAGGTGTTGGCTTTGGGGATGACCAGTGAGATATACCTGCTGGAACGCATACTACGGGTGGGTGTTACTATGGTGACTAATGATCTAAGATAAGGCAGGGATTTGCCTAGAAGTGATTTATAGATGACCTGGAGCCAGTGGGTTTGGCGACGAATATGTAGTGAGGGCCAGCCAACGAGAGCGTACAGGTCACAATGGTGGGTAGTATATGGGGCTTTGGTGACAAAACGGATGGCACTGTGATAGACTACATCCAATTTGCTGAGTAGAGTGTTGGAAGCTATTTTGTAAACGACATCGCCGAAGTCAAGGATCGGTAGGATAGTCAGTTTTACGAGGGCATGTTTAGCAGCATGAGTGAAGGAGGCTTTGTTTAGCGAAATAGGAAGCCGTTTCTAGATTTAACTTTGGATTGGAGATGCTTAATGTGAGTCTGGAAGGAGAGTTTACGGTCTAACCAGACACCTAGGTATTTGTAGTTGTCCATATATTCTAAGTCAGACCCGCCGAGAGTAGTGATTCTAGTCGGGCAGGTGGGTGCAAGCAGCGTTCGATTGAAGAGCATGCATTTAGTTTTACTAGCATTTAAGAGCAGTTGGAGGCTACGGAAGGAGTGTTGTATGGCATTGAAGCTCGTTTGGGGGTTTGTTAACACAGTGTCCAGTGAAGGGCCAGATGTATACAAAATGGTGTCGTCTGCGTAGAGGTGGATCTGAGAGTCACCAGTCCCCCATATAGACTGCCAGAGGTCCAGACAACAGGCCGTCCGATTTGACACATTGAACTCTATCTGAGAAGTAATTGGTGAACCAGGCGAGGCAGTCATTTGAGAAACCAAGGCTATTTAGTCTGCCAATAAGAATGCGGTGATTGACAGAGTCAAAAGCCTTGGCCAGGTCGATGAAGACGGCTGCACAGTACTGTCTTTTATCGATTGTTGTTATTATATCGTTTAGGACCTTGAGCGTGGCTGAGGTGCACCCATGACCAGCTCGGAAACCAGATTGCATAGCGGAGAAGGTACGGTGGGATTCGAAATGGTCGGTGATCTGTTTGTTAACTTGCCTTTCAAATACTTTCGAAAGGCAGGGAAGAATGGATATAGGTCTGTAACAGTTTGGATCTAGAGTGTCACCCCCTTTGAAGAGGGGGATGACCGCGGCAGCTTTCCAATCTCTGGGTATCTCAGACGATACGAAAGAGATGTTGAACAGGCTAGTAATAGGGGTTGCGACAATTTCGGAGGCTAATTTTAGAAAGAAAGGGTCCAGATTGTCTAGCCCTTTTTGTAGGGGTCCAGATTTAGCAGCTCTTTCAGGACATCAGCTATCTGAATTTGGGTGAAGGAGAAGTGTGTGTGTGTGTGTGTGTGTGTGGGGGGGGGGGGGGGGGGGGGGGGGCAGGCATGGGCAAGTTGCAGCGGAGAGATAGTATGTATGCAGAAATAGTTGTGTGCATTGGACTGAAAGAAGGTCCAAACTGAATAAAATAGAGAAAACTTAGTGCCAGTCCCTGGACAACCAATTAATCTATGCAAATAAGGTTTAACATTTAAAGAATTGAAGTGATGTCTGGTGAGTTTCACAAATGTTAACCTATACAAATCAAGCTGCCCACATATTCCATCAGTTATCTGAAATGCCAACACATCTCTGGGGACATGAATGTGGAGTAGAACTTTATAGTAAAATGGGATTGAGTGCATATTAGTGTAAATACCTGCTCATAATGACATTTAATTGTTTGAAAAAATAAATAAAAAGAGAAACAGCATTATGTCATACATGACTCATTTAAATCTGATGAAAACAGTGCATGATGGTTTTGGTAGTGTATGCTTGAGGTGAGACTTCTACTAGTATGCCTTACATAAACACAATGAAAGGAAGGTACAGTGCCTTGCAAAGGTATTCATACCCCTTGGCGTATTTCCTATTTTGTTGCATTACAACCTGTAATATTTGGATTTCATGTAATGGACATACACAAAATAGTCCAAATTGGTGAATTGAAATGAAAACAATTATTATTTAAAAAAATTCAAATAAATAAATAATGGAAAAGTGGTGGTGCATATGTATTCACCCCCTTTGCTATGAAGCCCCTAAACAAGATCTGGTGCAACCAATTACCTTCAGAAGTCACATAATTAGTTAAATAAAGTCCACCTTCGTGCAATCTAAGTGTCACATGATCTGTCACATGATCTCAGTATATATACACCTGTTCTGAAAGGCCCCAGAGTCTGCAACACCACTAAGCAAGGGGCACCACCAAGCAAGTTGCACCTTGAAATCAAGGAGCTCTCCAAACAGGTCAGGGACAAAGTTGTGGAGAAGTACAGATCAGGGTTGGGTTATAAAAAAATATCAGAAACTTTGAACATCCCACGGAGCACCATTAAATCCATTATATTAAAAATGGAAAGAATATGGCACCACAACAAACATGCCAAGAGAGGGCCGCCCACCAAAACTTACGGACCAGTCAAGGAGGGCATTAATCAGAGAGGCAACAAAGAGACCAAAGATAACCCTGAAAGAGCTGCAAAGATCCACAGCGGAGATTGGAGCATCTGTCCGTAGGACCACTTTAAAAAAAACCATTGCTTAAAGAAATGAATAAGCAAACACGTTTGGTGTTCGCCAAAAGGCATGTGGGAGACTCCCCAAACATGGAAGAAGGTACTCTGGTCAGATGAGACTAGAATTGAGCTTTTTGGACATCAAGGAAAACGCTATGTCTGGCGCAAACCCAATACCTCTCATCACTCCGAGAACACCATCACCACAGTGAAGCATGGTGGCAGCATCATGCTGTGGGGATGTTTTTCATCGGCAGGGACTGGGAAACTGGTCAGAATGAAGGAATGATGGATGGCGCTAAATACAGGGAAATTCTTGAGGGAAACCTGTTTCAGTCTTTTCCAGAGATTTGAGACCTTCCAGCAGGACAATGACCCTAAGCATACTGCTAAAGCAACACTTGAGTGGTTTAAGGGAAAACATTTAAATGTCTTGGAATGGCCTAGTCAAAGCCCAGACCTCAATCCAATTGAGAATATGTGGTATGACTTACAGATTGTTGTACACCAGTGGAAGCCATCCAACTTGAAGGAGCTGGAGCAGTTTTGCGTTGAAGAATGGGCAAAAAATCCCAGTGCCAAGCTTATAGAGACATACCCCAAGAGACTTGCAGCTGTAATTGCTGCAAAAGGTGGCTCTACAAATTATTGACTTTGAGGGGGGGTGAATAGTTATGCACGCTCAAGTTCTGTTTTTTTTTTCTTGTTTCTTGTTTGTTTCACAATAAAAAATATTTTGCATCTTCAAAGTGGTAGGCAAGTTGTGTAAATCAAATGATACAAACCCCCCAAAAACCCATTTTAATTCCAGGTTGTAAGGCAACAAAATGCCATGGGGGGTGAATACTTTCGCAAGCCACTGTAATTGTAGGGCAGGCATTAACCTCGTCCCCGGGAGAGAGAGCTGGCTGGTGGACAAGATTAGGCAGGCATTAGTCAGATGACAGTTTGACAAAGCTCAGGGAAGCTGCTGTAGAGAGACTTGGTAATTACAGCAATCTTCAATTATACTCCTCTGACTGTGGCTCTCTCTGTGTGGTAATAAATGGGGTGCTAAGTCCAGAAAAAAAACATTTTTAAAAAATCACCTTAATTGCGTGTTGGTCACTTGAAGGATGTTAATAAAAAGGGCAACACCCCACGCCAAATTCGGACTAAGGAAATCAGCATTCACAAAACATAAGAAATGAATCTAGTCACAACCTGTCTGATGAAAAGCACATCAGGTTAGGGTTGTCACGGTGACCGTATTACCACCACACCGGCAGTCACGAGTCATGTCTGCAGTCAAATTCCCTGTGACTCTTGGTCACAGTAATCCCATCTAAAACTGAGCAAATTAATGGCGCTGATGGGTAGCCTACTAAACTTGCTAACGTCCCTTGCTAATGGCCTGGTACTCAGCACTCTATTGTCCCTCTAATCACTTTCTACACACTTAATGACTGAATTTGAATAATCTGAACGATGAGGACAAATTGTGATGGGAGTTAAAGCTCCTGTTCCGAAATAGCCCCGGACCCAATATGCATACAGTGAGGAAAAAAGTATTTGATCCCCTGCTGATTTTGTACGTTTGCCCACTGACAGAGACATGATCAGTCTATAATTTTAATGGTAGGTTTATTTGAACAGTGAGAGACAGAATAACAACAAAAAAATCCAGAAAAACGCATGTCAAAAATGTTATAAATTGATTTGCATTTTAATGAGGGAAATAAGTATTTGACCCCTCTGCAAAACATTACTTAGTACTTGGTTATTCTTCCACGGAACAGTAATAATGTTTCACTGGGTCCTTGACAAGCTGTTTAATCAACCGGAGAAATGTAATTTGATACATTCTTCAAGTCCAGAGAGATGTTAAGAAATGGTGGATGGTGTGAGAGTGTGATTTGAAGGAGTCAGGCGCAGGAGGGTAAATCACAGAATACAGAGTTTATTCCATAGTACACAGTTATGCTGGATAGCGTCAACAGCACAGGGCGTAATACAGGCGCACTGGAACACAATACAGGCACACGGGGAGAAATAACCCTGGCAATACAAAGTACGGATAGCTCAACCGAGCTACACTTATCTTCACATAAAACAATCACTCACAAGGACAAGGGGGCAGAGGGAACACTTATACAGTGAGGGAAAAAGTATTTGATCCCCTGCTGATTTTGCCCACTGACAAAGACATGATCAGTCTATAATTTTAATGGTAGGTTTATTTGAACAGTGAGAGACAGAATAACAACAAAAAAATCCAGAAATAAACGCATGTCAAAAATGTAATAAATATATTTGCATTTTAATGAGGGAAATAAGTATTTGACCCCTCTGCAAAACATGACTTAGTACTTGGTGGCAAAACCCTTGTTGGCAATCACAGAGGTCAGACGTTTCTTGTAGTTGGCCACCAGGTTTGCACACATCTCAGGTGGGATTTTGTCCCACTCCTCTTTGTAGATCTTCTCCAAGTCATTAAGGTTTCGAGGCTGACATTTGGCAACTCGAACCTTCAGCTCCCTCCACAGATTTTCTATGGGATTAATGTCTGAAGACTGGCTAGGCCACTCCAGGACCTTAATGTGCTTCTTCTTGAGCAACTCCTTTGTTGCCTTGGCCGTGTGTTTTGGGTCATTGTCATGCTGGAATACCCATCCACGACCCATTTTCAATGCCCTGGCTGAGGGAAGGAGGTTCTCACCCAAGATTTGACGGTACATGGCCCCGTCCATCGTCCCTTTGATGCGGTGAAGTTGTCCTGTCCCCTTAGCAGAAAAACACCCCCAAAGCATAATGTTTCCACCTCCATGTTTGACGGTGGGGATGGTGTTCTTGGGGTCATAGGCAGCATTCCTCCTCCTCCAAACACGGCGAGTTGAGTTGATGCCAAAGAGCTCGATTTTGGTCTCATCTGACCACAACACTTTCACCCAGTTCTCCTCTGAATCATTCAGATGTTCATTGGCAAACTTCAGACGGGCCTGTATATGTGCTTTCTTGAGCAGGGTGAACTTGCGGGCGCTGCAGGATTTCAGTCCTTCACGGCGTAGTGTGTTACCAATTGTTTTCTTGGTGACTATGGTCCCAGCTGCCTTGAGATCATTGACAAGATCCTCCCGTGTAGTTCTGGGCTGATTCCTCACCGTTCTCATGATCATTGCAACTCCACGAGGTGAGATCTTGCATGGAGCCCCAGGCCGAGGGAGATTGACAGTTATTTTGTGTTTCTTCCATTTGCGAATAATCGCACCAACTGTTGTCACCTTCTCACCAAGCTGCTTGGCGATGGTCTTGTAGCCCATTCCAGCCTTGTGTCGGTCTACAATCTTGTCCCTGACATCCTTGGAGAGCTCTTTGGTCTTGGCCATGGTGGAGAGTTTGGAATCTGATTGATTGATTGCTTCTGTGGACAGGTGTCTTTTATACAGGTAACAAACTGAGATTAGGAGCACTCCCTTTAAGTGTGCTCCTAATCTCAGCTCGTTACCTGTATAAAAGACACCTAGGAGCCAGAAATCTTTCTGATTGAGAGGGGGTCAAATACTTATTTCCCTCACTAAAATGCAAATCAATTTATTACATTTTTGACATGCGTCTTTCTGGATTATTTTGTTGTTATTCTGTCTCTCACTGTTCAAATAAACCTACCATTATAATTATAGACTGATCATTTCTTTGTCAGTGGGCAAACGTACAAAATCAGCAGGGGATCAAATACCTTTTTCCCTCACTGTATGTAGTACTGTGCACCTTCCATATTCTGTTCTGGATTTGGGGACTGTGAAGAGACCTCTGGTGGCATGTCTTGTGGGGTATGTCATAATAGAACATCAAAATTGCATTCAGTGGAACAGAAGAAAAAACGCACTTTTCTGGATTTTCTTGTTGTTATTCTGTCTCTCACTGTTCAAATAACAATTATAGACTGATCATTTCTTTGTCAGTGGGCAGAGAGAGAGAGAGAGAGAGAGAGAGAGAGAGAGAGAGAGAGAGAGAGAGAGAGAGAGAGAGACAGAGACAGAGACAGAGACAGAGACAGAGACAGAGACAGAGACAGAGACAGAGACAGAGACAGACCAGACTCAGACTCAGACTCAGACTCAGACTCAGACTGTAGGCTATTAGGAAGTGGAGGCCGTGCGGTGTGAATGTTTCAATAAGACACAGGAGGCTCGGAGTACCAGAGCAGCCACGGAGGGAGAAACGGCAACCACTTATCTCGCGCTAGACTAACTTCTTGCTAGTTATTTATCGTCCCATCCGATCACATAGTACCTGTCTTGACTGCGTCAAACTGAGAGAAGCTAGCTAACTAGGCTAATTGAGGCTAACCATAACGTTACTGCGCTTCTTACCATCCTACAGTTACCTACACATAACAACAACTCCATTCAGATTATAGCCTAAATAGCAGCCTACCTGTTGGCTTTTGGTTGTTGTAGCCTTTCATTCTCATTTCACTTTTAATTTTGTCATTTTAATTCCAACTTCCATTGATTAGATATCCCCTGACTTGCTTGCCACACAAGCAGAGCAGCAATGCAATTGTCTCTCTCTCTCTGCAGGAATTGCAAGGATCAGAGCGCATGCCTTTTTTTGCAACTTTTTCGAAATCATCAATATAGAGTCGCATCATGCAGCCCATATGTTTTGATTTCTAAGACATTCCCAGGTTTATAGGCCTATAACAACTAAATAAAGAATGGTTCTAATTGTGATGGCATAGGCTATATCACATTTATTAATTTGACTTTTTTAAATGTAGATGTTCCAAAGGCGCGCATCAGCAGCTTGTACGAGTGGAAGCCCAGAGATGCTCAACATGTTTATGTTAATTAACAGTCAATTACCGTGAGACCGGCAGTCATTTGCATGACAATTACCGTCGGACAACATTTTGTGACTGCCACAGCCCTACATCAGGTCCTCACAATCCTATCAGTCTAACACTGGACCAGCAGGCAGTAATGACACAGTCACACACCACCCGACCACCAGATTGAATACAGCCATTCCAGAGAGAGCAGGGCTATTCACGTGTATTGTAAGGGCCACTCACCTCCTTTTTGGCTCTGTGCCGGCAGGTTTCTTGATTGGCCGCTCCATGGCACTCGCCACCGCGCTGCCAGCCTTTTCGCCCCTGCAAGTCTTGTCCAGGTGATTTGGGTTGGCGATTAAGTGCTTGCTAAGAAATTGGCAGAGAGATAAATGTTTTTAATGTTGTGCAGCACATCCATATTATGAGAGCCATGGCTGGCGGGGAACTGTTACACATGTGAGTCACTTCAGACAGAAATAGATGAGAGCTGTTCGCACTTTTTTTGGTGTTAAGCCACTAAAATGCTTGAAGGAATTTGGAAATTAAGTTATATTGCAAAATTCAAAGCTACACGATGATAGTCTCAGCCAAACTCTACATTCTAATACGCCTACACTGGAATCATATATTCCCCCCCCCCCCCTTCAATATCAGTCTCAGACTGTCTGAGAATATATTGTAGTTAGAGCAATGTTTTGGTTACTGATTGTTCCTTACTCTGCAGTGAGAACTGGAGCTGAGTTGATATCTGGGTTGGGTTCTGCCCGTCGGGGTCGGCCCAGTCCTCCTGATCCTGGCATCTCACCACTCAGACGGTCTGGCAGCACTGAGTCCTTGTTGATGTTGATGTCAGAGTATGGGCATCCCACCGCACTGCAAATCAGAACACGTACATTATTCCAAATGACTGATTTAAGGAAAAAGGACTTAAGTGTAAAAATAACTTCATAATAGGACTTAATTACAACTTAATAAGGTGTTATAGGTCTCCTGAGTGGCGCAGTGGTCTAAGGCACTGCATCGCAGTGCTAACTGTGCCACTAGAGATCCTGGTTCGAATCCAGGCTCTGTCGCAGCCGGCCGCGACCGGGAGACTCATGGGCGGCGCACAATTGGCCCAGCGTCGTCCAGGGTAGGGGAGGCAATGGCCGGCAGGGATGTAGCTCAGTTGATAGAGCATGGCGTTTGCAACGCCAGGGTTGTGGGTTCGATTCCCACGGGGGGCCAGTATAAATTTTTTAAAAAAAAAATGTATTCACTAACTGTAAGTCGCTCTGGATAAGAGCGTCTGCTAAATGACTAAAATGTAAATGTAAAATGTTAATAACAAAACAGGATATGAATTCACACATCAGTGATCTTGGGGACAGAATCAAAAGCTAATATAAGCAAAGCAGAAGAGATAGATATATATTTTAAGGCAGCTCACTCACACTGAGTGTATGTCACAAACGCTCTTCCCTGTCTAATCGGGCAAACATTGATGTTGGCATAAAACAGTTTACACAGTTCCTAGTCCTACTCAATAGTCACTACAGCCAACCTAAAGAGTTCTGAGTCGCTGGGGTTGAAGTAATTCATTCCAATGGCAGTGTGCAGACTGAGGCTTCTTCATTTACAACGCCTTATCATCGTCCACCTGTGTAATGTGCTACTTCTCATTACCTTAGGGGGAAACATACTTTAACTCCACTAAAAAGGAAATGGGATGGGTCTATATAAACAACATATTTGCATTGAAATGGTTGAGTAAGCCTCGCTGTCACACTGCGACCACTCTGACTGACGAGAGGCGAGAAAGAGATCGCGTTTCTCTCTTTCTCCTCTAATCCCTCTCTAATTTTTCCTGGCCACTGGCACACATTTTTTGCATAATGAGGGCTCTTTCCGATTATTTCTGTCCGTAGCTAGCTGTCATACTACCGGTTTAACATTCCAGGTTTGGCAACAAACACTGATAAAGCACCTCTCATTCCATAGATACATTTTAATAAGATACATTCTGTACTCAGACTCCAAGTTAATCAGCTTACATTACAGATACTGAACCAAGGGACTGTGTCCTCATTAAAAAGTGACTCTACTGCAGTATGCATGACCTCCGGTAACTCCATAATACAGCACCGCAACGTCGGGATAAAGAACTAGAGTCATTTTGCCTTTTCTGCAAATATTATTTTGCTCACATTAGTAGATCTACAGCTGGAGGGGTACATGCTGTAAGAAAGCCAGGTGATACAGATGTGGATGTATGGAGAACGGAGATGTGGTTTCTCAGGAGAAAAGGGAAAGAATTGTGATGAATACTGATGGGAGAGAGTGACACTCGTGCTTACACGGCTGTGCTTCTAGCTCCACACAGCCAATTATACAGGCTCTACACAGCCTCACCCCAGGGGCATTCAGGTACGTGTGGACCATGTACAATACCTACCTACAGTTGAAGTCGGATGTTTACATACACCTTAGCCAAATACATTTAAACTCAGTTTCACAATTCCTGACATTTAATCCTAGTAAAAATTCCCTGTCTTAGGTCAGTTAGGATCACCACTTTATTTTAAGAATGTGAAATGTCAGAATAATAGTAGAGAGAATTATTTATTTCAGCTTTTATTTTTTCATCACATTCCCAGTGGGTCAGAAGTTTACATACACACAATTAGTATTTGGTAGCATTGCCTTTAAATTGTTTAACTTGGGTCAAACGTTTCGGGTAGCCTTCCACAAGCTTCCCACAATAAGTTGGGTGAATTTTGGCCCATTCCTCCTGACAGAGCTGGTGTAACTGAGTCAGGTTTGTAGGCCTCCTTGCTCGCACACGCTTTTTCAGTTCTGCCCACACATTTTCTATAGGATTGAGGTCAGGGCTTTGTGATGGTCACTCCAATACCTTGACTTTGTTGTCCTTAAGCCATTTTGCCACAACTTTGGAAGTATGCTTGGGGTCATTGTCCATTTGGAAGACCCATTTGCGACCAAGCTTTAACTTCCTGACTGATGTCTTGAGATGTTGCTTCAATATATCCACATAATTTTCCTTCCTCATGATGGCATCTATTTTGTGCACAAGTGCACCAGTCCCTCCTGCAGCAAAGCACCCCCACAGCACGATGCTGCCACCCCCGTGCTTCACGGTTGGGATGGTGTTCTTCGGCTTGCAAGCGTCCCCCTTTTTCCTCCAAACATAATGATGGTCATTATGGCCAAACAGTTCTATTTTTGTTTCATCAGACCAGAGGACATTTCTCCAAAAAGTACGACGATCTTTGTCCCCATGTGCAGTTGCAAACCGTAGTCTGGCTTTTTTGTGGCAGTTTTGGAGCAGTGGCTTCTTCCTTGCTGAGTGGCCTTTCAGGTTATGTCGATATAGGACTCATTTTACTGTGGATATAGATACTTTTGTACCTGTTTCCTCCAGCACCTTGTGTCATGCACAAAGTAGATGTCCTAACCAACTTGCCAAAACTATAGTTTGTTAACAAGACATTTGTGGAGTGGTTGAAAAACAAGTTTTAATGACTCCAATCTAAGTGTATGTAAACCTACGACTTCAACTGTATATTGCTGACCTCCGGACCTACCACAGCTGTTGTAGGCCAACCTTCACTTTTAGAAGGAACATATTGGGTGTCTGTCTCTTGCATTATGAGTCTCTGTGCTACAGTATTGGCTAATACAGTACATGTAACTGGTGGATCAAGTAACCATTCACCGGCCTGTAGAGATATAAAGCCTGTTGGGGTTATAAGTGGACATTTCTATTGGATGGTAGTTTTGATGGCCTGGCCAGCCAGACAGAGTGAGTGCTGTGTGTGTGGGTACCTGTGGTGGCCAGAGTAGCGGGCTCCTTTGATGTGGCCCACACCTTTACACCCTGGGGTGGGACATCCGCCCTGCTCAGACGACTCAAACAGCTCCTGTGGATCTGTGGATGAGGAGAGGGGGATGAGGAGAGGAGAGGGGGTGAGATATTATATCCGGATCTACCTAGTGATACACTACTCACTACATGACTTCTGGCGAACCATCCTAAAATAATGTAATGCTAATGTGCAGTGTCCATATTAGGATAGCCTCAGTCACAAGGAGTTGGTGTCAACCTCACAAGGAGTTGGTACTATTCAGAGTCAATACAGGTACAGAGAAAGCAGATATTTCCCTGGATCTGTCCTTATGACACGAGTGAGCTGCCATGTGGAGCAGTAGCATTTATCGCCCCCCAGGTTCCCTTGGAGAGTTCATCAATGAGCTTGACGCCTTGATAAGTTCCTTTCCTGAGGATGGCTCACCCCTCACAGTTCTGGGTGACTTTAACCTCCCTACGTCTGCCTTTGACTAATTTCTTTCTGCCTCCTTCTTTCCACTCCTTTCCTCTTTTGACCTCACCCTCTCATCGTCCCCCCCTACTCACAAGGCAGGCAATACGCTTGACCTCATCTTTACTAGATGCTGTTCTTCTACTAATCTCACTGCAACTCCCCTCCATGTCTCCGACCACTACTTTGTATCCTTTTCTCTCTCGCTCTCCTCCAACACTACTCACTCTGCCCCTACTCAGATGGTAATGTGCCGTCGCAACCTTCGCTCTCTCTCTCCCGCTACTCTCTCCTCTTCCATCCTACCATCTCTTCCCTCCGCTCAATCCTTCTCCCTCCAATCTCCTGATTCTGCCTCCTCAACCCTCCTCTCCTCCCTTTCTGCATCCTTTGACTCTCTATGTCCCCTATCCTCCCGGCCGGCTCGGTCCTCCCCTCCTGCTCCGTGGCTTGACGACTCATTGCGAGCTCACAGAACAGGGCTATAGAGGAAAACTAGACTCCCTGCGGACCTGGCATCTTTTCACTCCCACCTCTCTACATTTTCTTCCTCTGTTTCTGCTGCTAAAGCCACTTTCTACCACTCTAAATTCCAAGCATCTGCCTCTAACCCTAGGAAGCTCTTTGCCACCTTCTCCTCCCTGCTGAATCCGCCCAACAACCTGCCCACTTGACCCTATCCCCTCCTCTCTTCTCCAGACCATCTCCGGTGACCTTCTCCCTTACCTCACCTCGCTCATCAACTCATCCTTGACCGCTGGCTATGTCCCTTCCGTCTTCAAGAGAGCGAGAGTTGCACCCCTTCTCAAAAAACCTACACTCGATCCCTCCGATGTCAACAACTACAGACCAGAATCCCTTCTTTCTTTTCTCTCCAAAACTCTTGAGCGTGCCGTCTTTAGCCAACTCTCTTGCTATCTCTCTCAGAATGACCTTCTTGATCCAAACCAGTCAGGTTTCAAGACTGGTCATTTAACTGCGCTTCTCTGTGTCACGGAGGCTCTCCGCACTGCTAAAGCTAGCTCTCTCTCCTCCGCTCTTGTCCTTCTAGACCTGTCTGCTGCCTTTGATACTGTGAACTATCAGATCCTCCTCTCCACCCTCTCCACCCTCTCCGAGTTGGGCATCTCCGGCGTGGCTCACTCTTGGATTGCGTCCTACCTGACCGGTCGCTCCTACCAAGTGGCGTGGCGAGAATCTGTCTCCGCACCACGTGCTCTCACCACTGGTGTCCCCCAGGGCTCAGTTCTAGGCCCTCTCCTATTCTCGCTATACACCAAGTCACTTGGCTCTGTCATATCCTCACATGGCCTCTCCTATCATTGCTAGGCAGATGACACACAACTAATCTTCTCCTTTCCCCCTTCTGATAACCAGGTGGCGAATCGCATCTCTGCATGTCTGGCAGACATATCAGTGTGGATGACGGATCACCACCACAAGCTGAACCTCGGCAAGACGGAGCTGCTCTTCCTCCCGGGGAAGGACTGCCCCTTCCATGATCTCGCCATCACGGTTGACAACTCCGTTGTGTCCTCCTCCCAGAGTGCAAAGAGCCTTGGCGTGACCCTGGACAACACCCTGTCGTTCTCCGCTAACATCAAGGCGGTGACCCGATCCTGTAGGTTCATGCTCTACAACATTCGGAGAGTACGACCCTGCCTTACACAGGAAGCGGAACATGGTCCTAATCCAGGCACTTGTCATCTCCCGTCTGGATTACTGCAACTCGCTGTTGGCTGTGCTCCCTGCCTGTGCCATTAAACCCTTACAACTCATCCAGAATGCCGCAGCCCGTCTGGTGTTCAACCTTCCCAAGTTCTCTCACGTCACCCCGCTCCTCCGCACACTCCACTGGCTTCCAGTTGAAGCTCGCATCTGCTATAAGACCATGGTGCTTGCCTACGGAGCTGTGAGGGGAACGGCACCTCCGTACCTTCAGTCTCTCATCAGTCCCTACACCCAAACGAGGGCATTGCGTTCATCCACCTCTGGCCTGCTAGCCCCCCTACCTCTACGGAAGCACAGTTCCCGCTCAGCCCAGTCAAAACCTTTCACTGCTCTGGCACCCCAATGGTGGAACAAGCTCCCCCACAACGCCAGGACAGCGGAGTCACTCACCACCTTCCGGAGACACTTGAAACCCCACCTCTTTAAGGCATACCTGGGATAGGATAAAGTAATCCTTCTACCCCCCCTTACCCCACCCCAAAGAAAAAAATAAAAAATAAAAAATAAAAAATAAAAAACATATTGTAAAGTGGTTATCCCACTGGCTATAAGGTGAATGCACCTATTTGTAAGTCGCTCTGGATAAGAGCGTCTGCTAAATGACGTAAATGTAAAAATGTAGCTCTCTCTCTCTCTCTGAGAACCCAGCTCTGTACTCTGAAACCTAACGGCAGCATCAGCTGCACTCTAATCACAACTCCTCACTCCACGTTTCCATGGACACCACTACACAGGGAGAAATTATTAGTAAGTGGAAGGGGAGCCAGAGGGAAGTTCATTGTTCAGCTCCCAGCATCCTCAGGGTAAAATACAGGATATTGACCACAGAGAGAGCCAGGACTCATGAGCCATCAAACATACTGAGTCATTTTGAATAATTTGCTCTTTTCACAAACAAGGCTTCCTTCCACTACTCCTTCAATATAATGACGGCAGATCAGATTAAATCAACGCAGAGATGGAACCGTCTTTTCAGGGAAAAGCATATTACACTATTTACGATTGAATGGGATAAGAAATAGCAGCATCCATTGAGGCCTGGCTCTACGTGTGTCTGCTAGGAACCTTATGTCTGGAACTGAGGCAGGGAGCTGGACATTAATTGATTAGGATGAGTCAAAGCCACTCACTGATCGGGGGCTGGAGGGGGTGGCCAGTCTTAGCACACCAGCCAGCAGGGTGGATGTCTGGACTGTCTGTGTCCACCCAGTAGTCATACTCATCCGTCCAGCCATCAAAATGGATCTAGAGGAATACACACAGCAAGGACAAACAGTTACAGTAGAGTCCAACCACATATGTTAAATATAGAAATGTGGGGAAAAGTCATGTTCAAAAGTCAAAATCATGGTAGAATGATAAGGACATATCTTGGAGATAAGAAGCTGAACTACTGATTGTGCCAATCTACCTGACAAGCATTGTCTCAGACTGAAGCCCCTGGCACTGCCCTTACAGCTGGATGAGGCTAGCTCTGTTATCTGTGGGAGGCCGACACACAGCATAGTTGATAACTATCTTACATCCTCAGTTCTTATTCACACTCCTGACAATGAGAGTGTGCTTCACAGTGTGGGGCAAACAAGAGGAGACAGGAGCACACCAGGGAGTTGTGGGAAGACAGACCCTCCTAGTATACAGCCTGCTTCCCTGCCTGGCTAAAAACGATTGTTATTATTTCAGTTGAAGACAACATGAAATATGAAGCATGTGCTGGTACAAAGGAACTGAAGATGGGGAAACAGCAAGAGAATGTATGTGATGGTTGAAGGACAATGAGAGCATGAAATGTATGTAGTGTTGGTTCCTGTGTGAGTGGTGAGAGTGATGGTGGTGGGGGATGGATAGAGCTTCAGAAAACAGTCTTGGAATGAATGAGAGAAGATAAGAGTTCAGTTCAAGATCAAATCTAAAGCCTTGTATATAAAGTGACAAGTGAAAGTAGAGAAACCAAAGCTAAGCTGAAGGAGTACGAGTTTAGAAACCGGAGGGACTGTATAGAATAGAGCTATGCTATCTAGGGCTATTTTTGCTCCATGGACAGAAGGGTTTAGACTGAGATGACTGAACAGTATAGGCATATGTAGGGCAGAGGGAGAGGTATGCACATACTGTAGGGTTGGAGGGCAGCACAGAAGAGAGAATACCCCCCCCCCCCCCCCCCCCCCCCCCCCCCCCCCCCACTCCCCCACAGGCAGCTGTCCACCGACTCTGACACTGACCTACTGTTCACTTCAGAGTTCAAAGAGCATGAAGCTCATAGCTCTCCTGAAAATGGTCTATGGGAGAGAGTCAGGTAGATGGTAATTTGATGTACTGGAATAGATGGACAATGGTGAGGTCCTGAATCATTTGTATATGTATTCCTAGTACAGTAAATCAGCACATTTCTCCCACAGGACACCATACAGAGTTCATCTCCCAATTTCCTACGTAAAGCTGGAGTTTCATTACATAAGTTGTTCTTTGACATTTTTCAGAGACATTTGTAGTGAACCAGAACTCAGAGATTATACCCATAATAATTATATAATCTAGGATTATACTATTCCAGATCTAGGGTCTAATAGTTACACACTTCACAGTGCAGATAAGTGAGGAAAGCTGAACTAAACCACACACACAACACCTGGTCAACCTCATCCTTACATCTGAATGTCTGGATGATGGGAGGAAGGGAGGAAGGGAGCACTCCTAGTTATTGACACAGACAGCTGAGTCACAGTGTCATGTTGAATGACTCCAGTCTGGAGTGCAGATAGATACTGGTAGACACAGTGGTCAGATAGATAGACCGATAGAGAGTTTAAAATATGTTCTCACCTGGATCCTGTGGTCATCAGTGTCCACCACGGTGGCCACTCTGACAAGCATGGGGTTCCTCTTGTCCACCGTCTCCAGCTTCATGAGTGGCTGGAAGCTGTGGGGGGGTTTCTGTAAAGGGAGAGTGGGGGGTGGGGGGTGTTAGGGCTCAGACACAGCAATAGTGTTTGCTGGCCGAGAGCACTTAGCACCTCTGAACATAATTGGCGAACATAATTGGCGAAGTGTGCGCTGATTTTACATGTAGAATCGCGTGAAAAATGCCAGCAGTCAGACCTCTACAGCGGGTGGTCCTTAAAACACTGCTTGCTGACGATCGGCAGACGAACGCTACTTCCACATTCGATGCGATGTGCGTGTGCCTTTAGGCAGCATGTCATATGCACACTCTGCAGCAGACAGCCAGCTAGGCTACTCCAGTAAATTGTGTTGGAATGTGGATGTGGGGCTGCCACATCGTTTTACGTGCCGAGGACAGAGAGATAGAAAGCCTCACCACTTTAAAAGCCCTGGCTGGAGCCGGTGACGAGTTGGTCTCCTCCAGATACTTTTCCCAGGAGAAATTCTTGACATTGGGGTAACCTACATAAAAGAATAATGAAAAAGATTGAGCATGACTACATATGCTGTATTATCGGTGTGGGCGGGTAAAGTCCCTTGTGCTTCTGTCATTCCAAACCATTGGTCTTCTCCACAGTGGAATAACATAATTTACAGATCAGATTCAGTCATTTAGCAGATGCTCTTATCCAGAGTGACTTACAGTAGTGAGTGCATACATTTTCATACTTTTTTGTACTGGTCCCCTGTGGGAATCAAACCCACAACCCTGGTGTTGCAAGTGCCTTGCTCTACCAACACACAGGAGATCATCTGTTTGGAAACTTTCCATGCGTTGTTCTTTACTTTCAGAACTGTATGGTCAATCATCATTACACATTTGTGATATCCTGGCATCTACAGGATAAATATTGAGTTAGTATCTCACCTGGAGGCTTGGTGAGAATCCTGTCGTTGTCTTGACACCAGCCCACTGGATGGATGTATGGACTGGTTGCATCACACCTACAGAGGAGCAGGAGAAGGACAGTGGTAAAAAAAATGCCATCTTCTCAACAATGTCAGATTTCCCATTTCTTAGTATATATTCCTCCTCTTCCCTATAAACGGTTATGACATGAACTCCCCATAAACGGTTATGGGTTATTTAATAGGGATAATGTTTAGGAGTAAGCATGAGGATATTGGGATAGATCAACTGACATTGTGACAGACTCTGAGCCACTGTGGTGTCAGCCACCTTATTTCTGAGTGATTAACCCGTGCAGCTAACCATGATTATTATAATTTTTTGGTCATTTAGCAGACGCTCTTATCCAGAGCAACTTACAGGAGCAATTAGGGTTAAGTGCCTTGCTCAAGGACACATCGACAGATTTTTCACCTAGTCGGCTCGGGGATTAGAACCAGCGACCTTTCGGTTACCGGCACAACGCTCTTAACCACTAAGCTACCTCAGGGCGAGAAAGGATACTTCACTCACAGCTTCCCACGAATCCCTCTCTCCATGACAAACATCAGTAGGACAACATATATCTGTCACTGAATGATGGACGGCACACCATTGACGAGTAGATTGTAGGTAGTAATACTATTATGATGCTGTCAATGTATAAGCATTGCTGGATAAATTGCAAGGGGCTTGCTTATCTGGTCAGTATATTGCAATCCTCCTTACTTGGCCAAAAGGTTATAAGACAGCTGTTACTGAAATATCTCAAACGGTTTACTATTTCACCATGGACTCAACATACTGTTTCTAAACCAATCCCTGTTAGGTTGTGCCAGTGTGACAGAACAGTGGAATAATCTCATTTGAGGATTGTCATTGTTTCCACCTCAGTGGTCAGTGTTGTTACAGCAAGCTTGTTTAAGGGATAACATAGATTCCTAGTGTCCTTCTCTCTGGCCAGGCCAGTGTGAAGCGGAGCACAGTGGAGTGGTTTACCGGCTCTTTGGCCCAGAGCTGTGACGTTGTAGGGCCTGTGACTGGCTGACGTGAGCTGTAGTGAAAACATGTGTGAGAGTGTCATCTCCCTGGGTGAATCTGCTCGTCCCTTAGCCGCTCCAGGCTCTACTCTCTCCTCCTTGACATTTATTGATGATCATCCATAATTCATCCAATACAAGCTCTTGTATCGTGCAGACTAGGACTTCCTCCTGGCAGCCTAAATCCACAGCTGGGAGGGCTTAGAGTGGGCACGAAATGACAGTAACGACACATGCAATTCTCAGTCAGAAAAAGCCAAACAAAGGTGAAAATCAACAAGGGTTGAGGGATGACAATTGAGGGGGGAAAAGGAAGACTAGAGAATTGTGAGGAAAGTGATGTGCGTGCTTGTGTCAAAATAATAATTAATGGTACAGCCGATTCATACAGTACTTAAAATGTATTACACAAGTAATGTAGCTTGTTTGCTTGTGTAAAATATTAATAACAAACACTCTGGTAAGAAGCAATGCTTTTCTCCTCCCAGACACAAACATTCTGTTGTAATAAATCTAGCACTATCTAGTGCCCAATTCTGCAACAAGAAAGAACCAACACAGCCTCCAAAGCAATATGACTAAGATATGGCATCAGTAAACACAAATCACTGCTTTGATTTTGAATACTGAAATATTGTAAGGAAATGTTAGGAAAGGGCTAGGGTCAGTCTGTTATATCTGGTGTTATTATCCTGCCTTATCCAGTGTCCTGCGTGAATTTAAGTATGCTCCCTCTAATTCTCTCTCTCTCCCTCCCATCCCGGAGGACCTGAGCCCTAGGACCATGCCTCAGGACTACCTGGCCTGATGACTCCTTGCTGTCCCCAGTCCACCTGTTCGTGCTGCTGCTCCAGTTTCCACTCTTCTGCCTGTGCATATGGAACCCTGACCTGTTCACCGGACGTGCTACCTTGTCCCAGACCTGCTGTTTTCAACTCTCTCTCTCTACCACACCTGCTATTTCAACCTCTAAATGCCCGGCTATGAAAAGCCAAGTGACGTTTACTCCTGATGTACTGACCTGTTGCAACCTCTACAACCACTGTGATTATTATTTGACCCTGCTGATCATCTATGAATGTTTGAACATCTTGGAGAAAAATCTGGCCTTAATGGCCATGTACTGTTATAATCTCCACCCGGCACAGCCAGAAGGGGACCCCTCAGAGCCTGGTTCCTCTCTAGGTTTCTTCCTAGGTTTCTGCCTTTCTAGGGAGTTTTTCCTAGCCACCGTGCTTCTACATCTGCATTGCTTGCTGTTTGGGGTTTTAGGCTGGGTTTCTGTATAGCACTTTGTGACATCTGCTGATGTAAAAAGGGCTTTATAAATACATTTTTATTGATTGATTGATTGTAAGGAGTTGAAGGAAATGTAATAACAAAGTTAGACATTACCAGAAGTCGTAGCTCTCATCCCAGTTATCAAAGTGCACCAGGAATCGACTGTCCACCATGTCTGTTACTGTGGCAACACAGATGAAGGAGGGGTTCTTCTTGTCAATGGCCTCCAGCTTCATCCCAATTCTGAATCCTAAAGGAGTGACAGTCTGGAAAATAAAAATAGGACAGTTACTCAGAGACAAAAGCTCACATTTGGTTCAACCATGAACCTACTTATATTATAGCCTTTAAACTGCTCGTGAATCTACTTCATATCTATGTTGAATGGGTTGATGTCAAGTATTGTACTTCAATGAAGGAGGTGTAAAACTGGGCATGAAGTCTAACTAAACTAAACAGTTCCACCTAGTGGTAAAACACTAGTATCAAAGCAATATGAAAGCGATCCATAAGGCCTTGGACACACTGGGATTTTGTGTCAGAGAATTGCGGATGGAGCCAATGGAAGTCAACAGTTGCCGATAGAATTGATTGTCTGAGTAAAAAACGCACAAACAGTCTGTCTTTTGATGGATGCAACTCGTCCAAACTCGTCCTAAAATAGTTGACTTGAGTTTTACTTTTGACGGACAAAAACAGACAATGATGTATGTCATATACGATTTCATCTGAGTTTATGCATCTGAGTGTGTCCCCGGCCTGAATTAGGTCTGTAGGCTGCTCTTACCATGTTCTGATTCTCAAACAGGGCCTTGGGAGCTGCCTGGGCTTTGCTCAGCTTGATGTACGACGACCAGCTGAACTCCTCATCCTTTATACCTGTCCATCCATAGTGGGGAGGGAGGGGTTGGGGGGGGGGGGGTAATTTGGATAATTTGACTCTATCAAATATCCCTGGTTCAATTTCAAGTATGCTAGTATTCATGCATAAAATTAATAGAAATGATATCTTTGTGTCCTTTCTGTTTTCAAAATAGTTACTTAAAATAAAATACATTGTTTTCCTGTTGCCATAGGTAACCTGCTTGCACAAGGCATAACAAATTAATTGCCAAGTATGCCCGCTGTAACCATCCCTATATGACTAGTCTCACATAGGAAACAAAACTAGTCAGCAATACAGTATAAAGGAAACACAAATGAGAAGATGAGGGAGTACTACAGTAACAGTTGAAAATATCCCATCCAAAATGTCCAATACTGTATATGTTATTAGCTTTTCCAGGTGGATATCTGTCAAAGGTAGCATGTCTCTTACCTTTGGGGGGGTGAAGCTTGTGTCCTGTTTTCTCACACCATCCCACAGGGTGAATGTCTGCAGAGTTGGAATTCACCCAGAAGTCATAGTAGTCTGAGTACTTGTCAAAGTGAAGCCGTATTCTGTGTCCTGAAACCTAAACATGGAAGAAGCATTAAGCATCTTTATACATAACATGGTCATCCTGTGTTTGCTATTCAAGAGATTCATTAAGTAGTAGCCTACTGACCAGACGCGCACATGATGCCAACATAGAGAAGTAGACATAATTTAAAGTACCAAAAGAGCATTTATGGTCTTATAAATACTGTAATTTGCTAATGCCATTGCATAGAAAGACATAAGTGATCACAACTACTGCTATGCACTGGAACAAGAACAATGACAATGCAGACTTTGCTTCAGATCTTCCCAAAGCTGAAGATATCCATGACATGAGTTTTGACTCCCCTGAGAGGGCAGCGATGATGAGTCGAGGTGAGAGGTTACCTCAGCTACAGTGAGCACACAGTACATGGAGGGGTGCTCTGGGTCCACTCCCTCTAGCCTCATCCCCACCCGGAATCCATTCTTACTCTGGGGGAAGGCCTGGTGCTGAAATGAAAATGTGACATCATTCATTTAAAATACATACAGTGAGGGAAAAAAGGATTTGATCCCCTGCTGATTTTGTAAGTTTGCCCACTGACAAAGAAATGATCAGTCTATAATTGTAATGGTAAGTTTATTTGAACAATGAGAGACAGAATAACAACAAAAAAATCCAGAAGAACGCATGTCAAAAATGTTATATATTGATTTGCATTTTAATGAGGGAAACAAGTATTTGACCCCCTCTCAATCAGAAAGATTTCTGGCTCCCAGGTGTCTTTTATACAGGTAACGAGCTCAGATTAGGAGCACACTCTTAAAGGGAGTGCTCCTAATCTCAGCTTGTTACCTGTATGAAAGACACCTGTCCACAGAAGCAATCAATCAATCAGATTCCAAACTCTCCACCATGGCCAAGACCAAAGAGCTCTCCAAGAATGTCAGGGACAAGATTGTAGACCTACACACGGCTGGAATGGGCTACAAGACCATCACCAAGCAGCTTGGTGAGAAGGTGACAACAGTTGGTGCGATTATTCGCAAATGGAAGAAACACAAAAGAACTGTCAATCTCCCTCGGCCTGGGGCTCCATGCAAGATCTCACCTCGTGGAGTTGCAATGATCATGAGAACGGTGAGGAATCAGGCCAGAACTACATGGGAGGATCTTGTCAATGATCTCAAGGCAGCTGGGACCATAGTCACCAAGAAAACAATTGGTAACACACTACGCCGTGAAGGACTGAAATCCTGCAGCGCCCGCAAGGTCCTCCTGCTCAAGAAAGCACATATTCATGCCTGTCTGAAGTTTGCCAATAAACATCTGAATGATTCAGAGGAGAACTGGGTGAAAGTGTTGTGGTCAGATGAGACCAAAATCGAGCTCTTTGGCATCAACTCAACTCGCCGTGTTTGGAGGAGGAGGAATGCTGCCTATGACCCCAAGAACACCATCCCCACCGTCAAACATGGAGGTGGAAACTTTATGCTTTGGGGGTGTTTTTCTGCTAAGGGGACAGGACAACTTCACCGCATCAAATGGACGATGGACGGGGCCATGTACCGTCAAATCTTGGGTGAGAACCTCCTTCCCTCAGCCATGGCATTGAAAATGGGTTGTGGATGGGTATTCCAGCATGACAATGACCCAAAACACACGGCCAAGGCAACAAAGGAGTGGCTCAAGAAGAAGCACATTAAGATCCTGGAGTGGCCTAGCCAGTCTCCAGACCTTAATCCCATAGAAAATCTGTGGAGGGAGTTGAAGGTTCGAGTTGCCAAACGTCAGCCTCGAAACCTTAATGACTTGGAGAAGATCTGCAAAGAGGAGTGGGACAAAATCCCTCCTGAGATGTGTGCAAACCTGGTGGCCAACTACAAGAAACGTCTGACCTCTGTGATTGCCAACAAGGGTTTTGCCACCAAATACTAAGTCATGTTTTGCAGAGGGGTCAAATACTTATTTCCCTCATTAAAATGCTAATCAATTTATAACATTTTTGACATGCGCTTTTCTGGATTTTTTTGTTGTTATTCTGTCTCTCACTGTTCAAATAAACCTACCATTAAAATTATAGACTGATAATTTCTTTGTCAGTGGGCAAACATACAAAATCAGCAGGGGATCAAATAATTTTTTCCCTCACTGTATTTCCAGACTATTTCCAGACTTTAAAAAATTAATCATGAACTTAAAGCTGCAATATGCAACTTTTTGGGCAACCTGGACAAATTCTCATTGAAAGCAAGTATAAGAAGCTGTTGATCTGTTCTATGTGCGCTATTTCTATGCTTCCCTTGCTTAGGTTTTGTTTTTTGCGTCTTTTACTTCCGGTTTTGTACACCAGCTTCAAACAGATTAAAGTACAATATTTTTGGCTATGGAAAATATATTGCACAGCGGTTTAGATGGTACAATGATTCTCTACACTATACTTGCTTGTTTTGTCACATAAACTGAAATTAGGCAAACTATTAGAATTTTAGCAACCAGGAAATGGTGGAGCGATTTCTGCATAGTGCACCTTTAACAGTTTTTGTAGGCAAAGAATAATACGTGGTTAATGAGTTGAATAAATGAATTCTCAACATGCAGGAAAAAATGTAGGACATGATGTGAAATATAATCTTAACCCTGAATGACAAGCTGTAAAGGAGGAATAGACGAAAGAATAGAATGACTAGAAGGAAACAGAGAAGGATAAGGGTTTAAATGTAAGTTAATAACCCAATCTAGACAGGCCTGAGGGGTATGGTATGGTATGATAGCTCACCTCTTTGAACAGTTTAGTGGGGGCAGCAATGGCTTTGTCCTGCTCCAGATATGAGGCCCAACACCAAGACTTCTTCTTACCTCCATATGGAACAGCTGCCATAGTGAGACAATGATTCATTAGATTGTGTAAAAAGCAATACACAACATTACATTGCAACACATTGAGTTAGTCTGTGTGTATGTGCAAATGGCAGTGATTATATCAATATGGTGATTGGGAAATTGTGAAAAGATTGTGAAAATGAGCAATGGCCCCTCATTGGTGTCCCTCCCACTGCATGTTTCTACTCACTGTGTCTCAGGAGGGCTGCATCCCCCCTCCGTTTCCTCCTGCCTCGCGGAGCTCCACGCGTCGTCTTCCTGCTATCTTTCTCCTCCTGTTTGATGCACACACAGGAGGCTTTACACACTAGAACACTAGAATATGCAGGAACATTTTAAGAAGACTAAGAATATATATGTAAATGTGATATTTAAAAATGTGATTTCTAAAAACCTGTTTTGGCTTTTTCATTATGGGGTATTGTGTGTAGATTGATGATGGGGAAAAAACTATTGAATCCATTTTAGAATAAGGCTGTAACGTAACAAAAATGTGGAAAAAGTCAATGGGGTCTGAATACTTTCCGAATGCACTGTACTCACACATACAGTATAGATTAGAGCAATGTGATATTTTGGCGTAGGCAATGAGGACAGTGTTTATGAGGTAGTATGGGAAACATTCTGAATTTGTGTTTACATTAAAAGGTTTCCATTTTGAAACAATAATGATAAATCAGAGATTAGCCGAGAGTTATCTACACCAGTCGGGTCACAGCACGTTCTGTGAGGCATTAATTTAGTACGAGTTACGACACCTCAGCAGGAAAGGCATGCAAGGCTAATGCGTCATCCCTCACAATCTTGTGCAATCTGGAGTGATGCCAAAAGATTTACAGACTTGAGGCTCTATACTATATATATCAAATAAGCAATATCTACAAAATGTGATGAAATATCGAGAAATAACAGTAAATAACTTAAGATGTCAACAGTTATGTATAATTCAGTACGTACACAATGTCTGTAAAAGTAAAAAAAAAAATCAGGATAACAACATTCGTTACAAAAACTCCTTGGCGTATAAACTAATACTAACATAGTCCTCATCATCGTCCTCAGGCGGGACCTCTGTGGTGTCCATCTTGTCAGCTAGGCTCTCCTTGTCCTGCTGCAGAGGCCTCTTACGGCTGACCCCCACCACCTCCCCATTACTCTTCAAAACCTCTTTCTTCAGCATCAGCTCACTGCAGTGGAAAGAATATGTAGAGTAAAGGGTTGTGCAAAAAGGATGACCATTCTAATAAACTATAGTTTCAGTAATAGCTGAACTGCAAAATATCTAAAGCATTACCAGCATGAAACATTTATGCTAAAACAGTCTTCATTCATGGCAAAAAAAAAGAAACAAAGAAATGCACTAATTAGGTGCTGGGCAGAAAACAAAACTGATTGTGTTACTAGGATATTATTAGATTGAATAAATACATAGATTTTCAAGTCAAACATTTTAAGGGGGACCACACCGTGTATTTCATATTCATAACGCATTACTCCTACATTGACTTATTCAAGGTGACAGGGCTGCCTATGAATAATCTTATCATCATCGGCAGCTATAAATATGGTCAAAATCAAACAAAAATTACAATCTAACTCCATTTTTTTCAAATTAAATATGATTAACTGTTCATTACAGGATGTATAGTCTGTCTTTCTCTTCTCTGTTGCCATGGCAGTAGTAAATCCACAGAAGGAATACCACTTTAAGGTGCAACGTTCTGTTGGCAGCTTCTCCCCTATAAGACAATGGATACATGGGGCCCTCGGCAGCACCGGCTCTCTCTCTCTCTCTCCAGCTCAGAGCATGCACTAGCATCACCGCCAGTCTTTCCATTAACTAACTGATACATTATTCCTGGCTTCCACCCTGCATAGGATGGCTGGCCAAATAAATGTTTATGAGGTAGACTTATTGATTTTCTTAAGCATATGAAATATGTTTATAGTTGTTGTGGATATAAATATAGAAAATGCAGTTAAAACCAGACCAGAGCTGACGCCCTGGATACTAATGAAACCCTAGTCCTCCCCACTCCCCAGGCCACTCCCCAGGCCACTCCCCAGGCCACTCCCCAGGCCACTCCCCAGGCCACTCACTCCTGCTGGTCCTGCTGCAGACAGCGCTCGCTGCAGTGGAGGCCATCAGACAGGAAGTCCACGGGGGAGCCCTTCCTCTGGCAGCGCACACATACCAGGCCTCTCTGGGCCCACTGCCCCTCCTGCATCTCCTCTTTCACTTTCACCGCCACCGCCGCACTGTCTGAGAGGGCTGGGGAAGGAGAGAGAGAGGGGGGGAGGAAAAGAGAGTCACAGTCATCCTCACCCATCTCCTGTGTGGCTAATTCATCATTTCTAAGTTCAGGGTCAATAACAACAGAGCAATGGGATAACATAAAAGGTTCCCATGCATTCCCTGTTTGATTAAAAAACAACAGCAACATAGCCACTATCTAGCCTGAGACTCAAATTGAAAGCCTTATTTGGAGATAATCAGAAATGCTCAAATAGATAGACAGCTGACCCCTTTTAATGATCACGATTCACCATTTTCTGCTTAGCTTTGCTGAGCTCAATTCGACTGACTCTCATGCCTAGAAGGTTAGACACAATTATGACAATTATGGAAAATGCAAATGTCTTGTATATCAAAGGTATCCTAAACTGCTAACGTTAAATGGGGCGGCAGGTAGCTTAGTGGTTAAGAGCATTGTGCCAGTAACCGAAAGGTTGCTGGTTCTAATCCCCGAGCTGACTAGGTGAAAAAATATGTCGATGTGCCCTTGAGCAAGGCACTTAACCCTAATTGCTCCTGTAAGTCGCTCTGGATAAGAGTGTCTACTAAAATGTAAAAAAAATTTAATCCTATTTCAGACAGCACAGTTACATGATGGGTAATTATCTAGTTTTGTAAATAGCCGTTATAGACAATATAATTATGTCATGAAACGTAAAAACAAAGCCACCTCTACAGCAGCTTCTTAAAGACTGTATGCATGGTATGTGATAAGCTAGTGAAAACCTTCAGTTAAACATGCCTACTTGAAAGAGAAATAGAAAATATATGCACATCCCACCGGATCAGATGCATCTCAGACCCCAATGGGGATACAAACATAGTACATATGTATGCTTACATCTCGCAAATATATCCCTTCCAGGAGCATCTAAAAGTTGTGGACATTGAACCATGCCATCTTACCCTCCTGAGCAGTGGGCACTGCCCATGTAATGGTGGCATGAGCTTTCTTCACACTCTCATCTTCTCCCTCCTCTGTTAGGACCTCCAAGACTCCAAACTCATTCACCTTAAACTAATAAACATAACACACACATTCAAAATGGATTAAATTGATGTTTTTCTCTCACCCATCTACACACAGTACCCCATAATGACAAAGTGAAAACATGTAAAAAAAAATTTTTGCCACATTTATTGAAAATGAAATACAGAAATATCTCATTTACATAAGTATTCACACCCCTGAGTCAATACATGTTAGAATCATCTTTGGCAGCGATTACATCTGTGAGTCTTTCTGGGTAAGTCTCTAAGAGCTTTGCATACCTGGATTGTACAATAGTTGCATATTATTCTTTTAAAAATTCTTCAAGCTCTGTCAAGTTGGTTGTTGATCATTGCTAGACGGCTATTTTCAAGTCTTGCCATAGATTTTCAAGCCGATTTAAGTCAAAACTGTAACTAGGCCACTTAGGAACATTCAATGTTGTCTTGGTAAGCAACTTTAGTGTATATTTGGCCTTGTGTTTTAGGTTAGTCCTGCTGAAATGTGAATTTGTCTCCCAGTGTCTGTTGGAAAGCGGACTGAACCAGGTTTTCCTCTAGGATATCGCCTGTGCTTACTCATCTACCAATAGGTGCCCTTCTTTGCAAGGCATTGGAAAACCTCTCTTGAATACTTATTGACTCAAGACATTTTAGCTTTTCATTTTTAATTAATTTGTCAACATTTCTAAAAACATAATTCCACTTTGGCATTGTGGGGTATTGTGCGTAGGCCAGTGACACAAAATCTCAATTTAATCCCATTTTAAATTCAGGCTGTAACACAACAAAATGCGGAAAAAGTCAAGAGGTATGAATACTTTCTGAAAACACTGTATATGTGAGGAGTGAGGACATACTGCATATTTAGATCAATACTATGATTAGCGCCATGTGACCTAGTCAGGAAAAAGTCCTTGGTCCTAATTATGATTTATACAATTTATGATTTGTACAATTATATATTACATTGCATTTGTCATTACACAAATGGATCATTCAATTTCATTATAATGTGTCCTTATTCTGAAAGGTATAACACAAGCAAAAAATAATTATATATATGGCAACATTGAACCTTTTCAGCTATTGTGGTGATGTGTACCTTCAGCTCACTCCCAGGTAGGGTTCCGACACCATCATTCCAGTCCATGGCACCATACACATCAAAATCAGGGGCTGCTGCATTTGTAGCTGCATTTGCAGCATTTTTAGACTCATCCATGTTAAAAATGGGGATATCTGAAAAAGACAAGATGAAGCCAAGCCAGACAATAAATAACACTGTGCAGAATGAATATGGCATATGCCTACTGAATCTACATAAACTGACTTTAAAAACATCAGCTAAGTAAAGTTATTACAACCGTAGTCCTGCCCAAAGTGCGAGTCAAATGAAAAGAGGAGAAACAAATTAACGTTTCACAGAGCGGCTTTGCAACAATGTCTCAATAATGTTTCACAAAGCCGCTTTGCAACAATGTTTCAATTATTGTCGAAATGTAACAGCGGAAGCCCTGCGACATTGTAACTCGATGACATACATCAACCACTAGAGGTCATTGCTGACTAGGTTTAGACGACTGCGTTTGAAACTTTCAGACCCTATCAAACAATGAAATCACTGAACAAAAAAATTCAGACGAAAATGTTTTACGTATTTGATAGAAATTATGAATTATTTATAGTTTATGCAATAGGCCTATGATATATTAATATCGCTGTCTTTCAAATATAATTCCTGACATTTCGGTAGGGTATATAATTTATGTGTTTTGTATGCGCCTAAGATAATAAGTATAGGCATTCAGCCAGTAGCCTACATTTACAGCAAATCGTTGCCAGGCATTTACGAAATTGCAATATGAAAGTAACTTACATTTTATGCATGCATAATGCTTTTCCATCCCAAACTATTTAAAGGATTAATCCTCTCTCTGCTAAGCGTCAAAATTGCATCGTATGCGGGAACACTTTTTTGAATTATCAACCAATATTATTACAAAGGAAAATTCCGCGTGTTGACTGTGCACATGTTATTCAACCTGTGTGTTAGATTTTATCATCAGATGTCCATTGTCGGTTATGAGTGTTATTAATATTTATTTCGAGCTTTCTGAGTCAAATAGTTTTAATTACGAGTGGGATTAAATGATTCGGTTGTGCGCAACCAGTTCGCATTTCCTTTGTATTCCAACTAGGTGTGTTACAGATATTTTGTGATGTCCCTTAGCAAGACGCTAATCATGCATTGTATCAGATATTAACACTTTTCTTTGCTCTGATACTATTTAATGTGTTTTAAAGCCAGTTTCCCAAAATGGCGGAGCTGGAATATACTCCTATATAATTCTCACCGGCAGGCCTGCACTCGTTGCTCTACAACAAAAATAATATTTTAACTGCATTGAAAGCTTTTTGGAAGGAAATTATTATAGAAATATTTTAGTCCAGCTCGCTTGTCAAGCGCAAATGTCTTCTTCTCCCCAGCCTTAACATGGAATTACACTGAAGCAAGCATTATTCTTGAAAGAGTACAATATACCATTATTATATACGACTCTGGGAGACAAGAAATCTAGCACAACATATTTTCTATCATTGCAGTAATTTTCGATGCAACTTTTGTTACAATTTTAGAATGCAATATATTCACGCTCTACGCATTGAACCTCTTCCTGGCTGATATTATTGATGACACGTCCAGTCGTTTTGTACTTATTGCTAAGTTTTGGTGAAATTCCGTCGCAATGAACCTCTAACGAAAGTATTATATAACAGATCACTCATTACTATAAGGCATAATTTCCTCCATCAATTGTTTTATCCAAAAGTACATTTGTTTTAATTTGTCTGTTTCTTACCCAAATTCTCCCACGAGTACTGACAAATTGCCCAGGCAGCCGTCAATGCGCATGAGCATGGCTCTGAGCGAGTGGGTGCCTCAGCTAGACTGTAAAACAGATAATGCCAATATCGAAAGTTTTAGCAGGTTGAATAACAACATATTTAATAGATTAAGCCATTATTTGTCGCATAACCTTGTCATCGACATAAAACCATCAGCAAATGATTATGGATGCGTTGTGGATGTTTGGAGACTGCGATAGGCGATGATTAGAATAAAAGAGCACGAATAACATGTTACTAAAAATAAAACCCAGTTTGCTTGTCGACAGTGAAAAGAGGGTGACTTGCGAAATAGCACAAAGAACGTCAAAAAACCTTTCAATACCAACATTGTGTTGTATACTTTAACATAAATTGCGCCATCAACCTATTTTTCTATTTTGTGCTTAGGTTTATGCATCAACGTTGTTTTCGTTGCAGTTAAAAATAAAATGAATCTGTGCTTGTGAGTCCTGTGCAAGAAACCATGCAAATTAAACAGATTGCTGTACAAAGTTTCTTTATGCCATGTTGTAGTCCGTTATTACTATGAACAAATTGTCTCAACTTGATTTAATGACATCAAAAGGAAAAACAGGAATGGGCTGTACCCATGGCCTACTGTTTAATTTCATAACTCACACATCCAGCTACCTTTATTGGACTTCTAGATTAGCTTCTCTAGAGTTGTTCAAGTGAACTAGAATACAATAGAACAGAATAGAATAGAATAGAATATACAGAACAGATATAATAGAATAGAATATTATAGAATATAATAGAATACAGTTATAGTAGAATACATTAAGTTTGACTTTCATCAGTAATGGCTTTCCAGACAGGACCAAATGTTGTACAGTAACGTTCTGTGTAGATTTGTAGTCATCCAAGCTTCTCATTCATTACCATTACCAATGCATGAAGTTATAGGAAAAATATCCCCTATGGTCTTATAGTTATGATTATGAGTATGACTACATTTTCTGTAAAATCGTTCATACTTATGGGCTGCTCTGTAAGAGCACTTCTGGCAAATGCATAGTGCATGGGGTGTTACTGCTGTTCCAGATCACCATACTGTACATTTGATGTTTACCTTATGGAGCTCAATTCCAATTCATGGAATGTGCATAGCCATGGTGGCATGGCATAAGGGCAATGATTTCATTGGGAGCCCTTTCCTGCATATGACTGAGCAATTAACAGAATAAATGCTTTGTGTTGGTGATCTCTCCTCTAAAGCATGTTTGGTGATGGTCACCGCACAATCCACTCAATGTATAGAACATTAGTGATTAGTGAGTTACAGTGTCACTAATTCGCTAAAAAGAAAATAAGCTCATATGATGCAGTGCTGATTAGGGCATGGAGGGTGATTGTCAATAGACATGCTGAAGACTGGGTTTATGGTTTAAGTGCTTAGAACTTGTTTCTGTTTCCTCAAAGTTCTGTCATGGTTTTAACAACACATGTAGCAGGGGCCTTTTTAATGTCTCAACTCTAAACGTTCAAGAATATGTGCAGTTTCAGAGAGATCATATGTAGCACAGTACACTCAGTGGGCCAGAGAATCAGAGAAGACCACTGTTCTAAAGAACTGTGTGTCCTATTTACATTTAATTTACCCAGAGTCAAGTCTGGCTTGCCTCCTGGTGAACCAGCAGCTGTTACAGTATATACAACCCAACAGGCCAACAACACATTCATATTCTAAACAACAATATGGCCCGGTGAATATGCATGCAGTGACATCATAGTGTGTGAAGAGAGGTTGGTTGTCACACCACTCAGGTGTATTTCTAGCCACTGTGTGTTGGTGCTGCTGTAGAAGTGGTCCGGGCCTTGGGGCGGGCTTTATCCAGAATGACTTGAGATAGGAAGCTTTTGGCATGTGTTTAAGCCCATTAAGAACAGCCCTCATCCACTGCTTTGTTTGCTCTACTGTAGGTAGGCAACCTTTTAGCAACTCCACTGATAAAAGAAAAGGCGGCCATTCATGTTGTTGGACTACTGTTGCAGGTGTTGTGGGTATTGTGGGTATACTCTGAAGCGCTATGGACCAATCAACATGAATCAAGATCAAGACCAACGTCTGTGAAACATGGGTAAATATGTTGGACTCCAGTTTTGGATACCACAGGAAGTGGATTAGTAGGGAACTAAGTGTACGTGTTTACCTGTCTACTTAGTGTGACTGTGTACATGCAGTCACAACCAAAATTATTGGCTACCTTGATAAAGATGAGCAAAAAAGACTGTATAAAATATATAATACTAATACTGAGCTATATTGTATGCAAAGAAATAATAGAAAATGACATTATTTATACTAATACAATTGCTAAGAGAAAGAGATTTTGTTTAAAATAGTATTTTTTTTTTCTCAAAAAGATAGGGGTCAAACTTATTGGCACCCCTGTTTTCAATCGGGTTCAAGTCCTGAGACTGAGATGGTTTTGTGGCCAAGTAACCATTTATTTTTGGATTTTGATGTGTGCTAGGGGTTATTGTCTTGCTTGAAGATCCACTTGCAGCCAAGTTTCAGCCTCCTGGCAGAGGCAACCAGGTTTTTGGCTAAAATGTCCTCGTATTTGGTAAAGTTGATGATGCCGTTGACCTTAACAAGGGCCCCAGGACCAGTGGAAGCAAAATAACCCCACAACATCAAAGATCCACCAGCATATTTTACAGTCGGTATGGGGTTCTTTGCATCGATCCTTCTTTCGATGCCAAACCCACCACTGGTGTGTGTGGCCAAAGAGCTCTATTTTCGTGTCATCTGACCATAGCACCGGTTCCAATCCAAGTGCCAATGCCGTTTACCAAACTTCAGGCCTTTACATTTATTGGAAAACATCAAAATTGAAGTCTTTGGCCACGTAAACCAGTGGTGGGTTTGTCGTCGAAAGCAGGATGCGAAGAACCCCATACTTACTGTAAAATATGGTGGTGGATCTTTGATGTTATGGGGCTATTTTGCTTCCACTGGTACTGGACTTTACCCAGTACCAGGACATTTTAGCCAAAAACCTGGTTGCCTCTGCCAGAAAGCTGAAACTTGGCCGCAAGTGGATCTTCCAGCAAGACAATAACACCAAGCACAACAAAATTCACAAAGAAATGGTTATTTAACCACAAAATCAACATTTTGCAATGGCCATCTCAGTCTCCAGACTTGAACCCTATTTAAAACCTGTGGTTTGAATTGAAGATGGCAGTTCAAAGATTCTGTATGGAGGAATGGTCTAAGATCCCTCCCAATGTGTTCTCCAATCTCATAAAACATTTTCGAAAATGTCTCAGTGCCGTTATGCTCACAAGGGAAGGGAGTATTGA